TTCACAATTGTTAGTTTTACTTTCCAGTTAAGTTGGAGAAAGGACTTCAAATTTATTGTTCCATTTTCCTGGTAAACAAGGGAAAACGCTTCAGATTTTATTAAAAGAAAGGTTTATCTTGGAGGAACTTTACAGGATTACAACTTACATCAGTGAAACCATCAAACTGCATTTCAGATGTTAGAATATTTTATTAAACTTTAAACTTAAACTACATCTGAGGATAGTGTCACAATCATGGACCTAGTGTAGCTAAAAAGAGTATGAGTCTTTCCCACATAATGGACATGTCAAAATTGGACATAAATTCATGGACATGAGATGTAGAAAATTTTCTATAGGATTGAAGTTCCATTTCCCAAGTCTACCCAAAGCTTGTTTTTTGTTTTTTATTGTATTTTTTCATTACCATTTATCCCCACTATACCCTCTTTCACCTCCACCTACACCCCTCCCACCTGCAATCTCCACACTAAGTTCTTTCTCTTTTTTTTTCTTTTTTGCTCCACCTCTCCACCCCCTCAACACCTCCACACCCAACCAGAGCTGAATCTCTTAGCTCTCATTCAAAGGTCAACTTGGCTTTTACCATTTTGGTATACCTATGTTCTAGTCTGTATCAGATGCCATTCAACACTAAGTCTTCTCCATTCAAATTCTTATTCCAAATTTAAAATAAGGAAACTGTAGTTGGAATATATGGTTGCTAGGTGCAAAGTCTGAGCAAATGCACATCCTTATCAAAGATATAAACCAGAACTGTCCAACAGACCTTCTGGTGAAAATGAAAATAGTTTTTCTATACTATTTCATAAGATAGCACTATTTCATTAGCCTCATGTGGCTATTGAGCACTTGGAAGGTGACTATAATGGCTAAACGACTTTTACATTTCATTTAATTTTTTTAAATACTTTATTTTGCCCTAGCTGGTGTGGCTCAGTGGATTGAGTGCCAGCCTGTGAACCAAAGGGTTGCTAGTTTGATTCCCAGTCAAGGCACATGCTTGGGTTGTGGGCAAGGTCTCCAATAGAGGGTGCAAGAGGCAACCACACATTGATATTTCTCTCCTTCTCTTTCTTCCACCCTCCCCCTTTGTCTAAAAATAAATAAATAAAATCTTTAAAAAATAAAAATGTAAATACTTTGTTTTTTTATAGAACAGCTTTATGCTCACAGAAAAATTAAAAGGAAGGCACAGAGATCTCCCATACACTCTCCGCCTCCGCACATGTACAGTCATCCCATTAACATCCTGCACCAGAGTGGTACATTTGTAACAATTTTTGAATCTACATTAACTCATCATAATCATCCAAAGTCCATAGTTTACATTAAGGATCATTCTTGTTGTACATTTTAGATAACTGTTCTTTATCACTTTTGCAAGTATTTTCTCCCAGTCTGTAGCTTATCTCCTGTTCTCTTGACATTTACTTTTGCAAAGCAGTTTTTAATTTTAGTGAAGTCCAGCTTATGAATTATGTATTTCACATGCTGTGCCTTTGGTATTGCATCTGTAGTCATCAACATACCTGAAGTCATCTAAATGCTCTTCTGTTATCATCTAGGAGTTTAATAGTTGCATTTTATGTTTAAATCTGTAACACATTTTCAGTTAATTTTAATAAAGTATGTTAAGATCTGTGTCTAGATTCCTTGTTTTTGCACATGGATGTCCAGTTGTTCCAGTAGCTTTGGTTGAAAAGCCTAACTTTGCTCCACAAAGTTGCCTTTATTTCTTTGCCAAAGATTAGTTGGCCGTATTTCTATGGGTCTGTTTCTGGGCTATTTATTCTGGCCCACTGATCTCTTCATCTAGTCTTTTACTAATACCAAAGTCAGGCAGTGTCCATCCTCCAACTTTGTTCCCCTTCTTCAATATTGTGTTGGCTATTCTGGATCTTTTGTTGTTGCGCGTGGGTCTCCGGCCAGCAGTGACCACGGAACGCTGTGGATGGCTCAACGAAAACACACGAGAAAAAACACAAATGCACAGAGACAAACTAGTTTCTGTGGGGAAGTAGGGATGAAATGGCCACCCCCCCTAGTGGGGAGCACGCCGATTTACAGTCCATACCTGCTTTTATTAGGCTCATTCTGCATAATAATTCAGGTAAAGTACAGTACTCATTAAGGGGAAGTAAGGAACCATAGAAAACAAAGAACTCTGCCGGTCTATTGAGTTGGGGGGTCAAAGGAGCTGTAAGACTGAGGAACAAAATAACTTCCTCCTAAGACCCTTCTCATTCAACTGAGAGCATTCTAAACAAAGAAGGTTTCACAGTAATTTACATGTTCTTTCTTAGGCCTGATCACCCTGGGGAATCTGCACTTCTCAGTACCGAGCTGCACCACCCTGTCATTGTTTCAGGCTTAGGTGGAGCAAGGGAACTAAGGCAACTGGGAGACAAGGAGTTTTTTTTCCCAGATGCTGAGAACTCAGGCTATGTCAAAGCCGAGGAGCGAGGGTCCATCACCCCCCTTTTGCTGCAGCCCCCCCAAGTCCTTCTTTTGGGGGGCCTCCCAAAGTGATCGTGCCTGTCTTAGGTCGTTCTCCCCGTGGGCGAATCTTACCCGTCTTTGGCTAACCGACCAAGCTTCTTGGGGGTTCAGTCATGAGTAAAGCAGCAGAAGCAGCATTCCTGCCAGGGAGATAAGCTTTTGTCTCCTTGCTGGCTTATGGTTCCAAGGGCGTTCCCTTAGCCTTAGCCTAGGCGGCGGTTTCAGCTTCTGATACCAGTCAGGGCGGCTCCCAACATTTGTCACTCCATGTGAAGTTTAAAATCAGTTTGTTGATATCTACAAAATAACTTGTTTGGATTTTGATTGGGATTGCCATGAATCTGTACATCAAGTTAAGAAGAACTGATGCCTTGACTATATTGAGTCTTCCTATCCATGAACATGGTATATCTCTCCATTTATTTAGTTCTTTGATTGTTCATCAGAGTTTACAATTTTTCTCATATAGATTTTGTACCTATTTTGTTAGATTTGTACCTAAGTGTTTCATTTTGTATGGTACTAATGTAAATGATACTGTGCTTTCAATTTCAAATTCCACTTATTCATTGCTGATACAGTTTAATTTAATTTTAATTAGATTTAAATACCTTCCTTTGGCTACCATTTTAGCACAAATCTAGTTCTATAGAAAATATAATTATGAATTATTCCTTTTTTAAGAATTACTTCTTTTTAAATGTAAAAAAGGAATAAATGTAAATGTCATTATTGTCCAAAGTTTAATGTTACACCAAAACATTTACACTAACTTATTCATTTAACATTTATGGAGTATTCAAGTGCTATGTACTAGTTGTCTTACTAAATGCTAAGGAGCATTTAGGAGCTATTTAGGAGCTCAGGCTATTAAGAGATGTAATAAATAAATATTACAATATATTTTTGCTTGCTATTAGAGATATCTAAATGAAGAATTGTGGATTCAAAGTACATAGAATAACTGTGGGAATTTTAAAAGGTTTCATTGAAGAGTTTTATGTAAGCCAGGACATCATGGAAGAATAACTTACAAACCAAATGGGGGCAGGGTGAACTGAGGAAGACTCTATGCCATTTCAAAAATGGCATAGAGTTCTTAAAGGGCTTGGTGTGTCTAGGACTGAGCAAACTCTTCTACATGTGCTGCATAGCAGCAGAGGATGCTGCTACGAATTGGACTCTCTGCTGATTCTCAGAGTCTTGCACGATAATTAACTTTGGATGTCAATTCGTCACATAGTATATCATATTCCCCTATTATAGTTTTTATACTTTATATGAAGTACTTTTTTAAAAATCTGCTTCATTATCATTATAAGTTGCTTATGGCAAGGTCATGTTTGCTTTATCCACTGCCTGCAGTCCATAGCACCTGAGCATTCAGAAAGTATGAGTTACGTGAATGAACATTTCTGCTTACTCTGAAGCTCAATGCCCTTTGGAACTGTCCCACCTACCATCACCCAAGTTACCTCTTTGACTTGACATCTGTTTATTGTTCCCCTTCTTGGTTGGCAATGACATTGGCAGACAGTGAGGCTGTTTGGTGGCAGTATTTACTGACAGGTTATATGATTGTGTTCTCTGCATTTTAAATGCAGCTGGGAACTTTACTAGGGAATACATTTGTGGCATTGGATTTGAGTCACCCAGACTAGGATTTTGAGATGGAAAAGGACCTGAAATAACCCCCTTTCACGAACTCTGTAAGTCATACGGTTAAAAGGAATTTTTTTAAGTGAAGAGTGAGGTGTAAAGGAAAAAGAATGGGAAAGGTACTGTAAATATTTGCTTCTTACTGATTTCAATGTAGTGTAAAGCACAATAAACATACCCCTTGCTTCCTCCATTTCATCCATTGCCATATACACTGCAATATACACATTGCCATATGTGCCATTACACATTATTACCTTATGATTATATTTCTTTATTACTTGATGGGTTTCATTCCATAAGAGAAATAGGAAAGGCTCCAGAATACAGGAAAGCAATTCCCAGTCTTTATGGTATCCTAATTAGTCACACTTGTGCAAACGAAGTAATTACCTTCAGTAGTGTCTCCCACCTGTCTCAAAAAAATATCTTCTCCGAGCCCATGTAAAAATTAAATATGATTCCCTGTAGAGGGTACGCTAATTATTATATAGGTACAGTCACATCTCCCTTCCCCCTTCCCCCCAAAAAGCAAGTAGAGGCAGAAGAAAAAGTGGTTAATTTGATTATCACTGAGCGGGAATATTGGGAATAATGCAAACACAGACTAAAGTAATACTTTATTACTAAGGCCCCTCCCGCATCCTAACCGCGGTCATGCAGAGACGTCGAGGCCTGACTCCCTGCAAACGGTGCCAGGCGGATAACCCGAAGGACACTCCTCCTGCGCCGGATGGGCGGGGCTGCGGCTCAACGGAGCAGTCCCGCCCACGCTGAGAGCGCGCGTTCGGTAATTGCGCTGGCTGAGGAGTGTCTTGTCCCTCCGCGCGGCCCGTTCCCGCTCGGCTCCAGCAGCCTTAGGGTTGACGTGTCTGCTGTTCGCCGCGGCTAGACCGGTAGGGCCGTGATGGCGGATGCCTGGGAAGAGATCAGGCGGTTGGCGGCTGACTTCCAGCGGGCGCAGTTCACCGAGGCCACTCAGAGGTGCCCGACCCTCCCTCTCCACTGTGGCGTCCAAAATATCCCCTGGGTGGCCACTCCCAAGATTTGAGGCCGTTGGTCCCTGGCTTTTGACTCCGGACTTTTCCAGCCCGTCACCGCCCCCGCCTCACCCCTTCTCCCGGAGCCGACATTGGGGTTCCAAGCATAGTCCTTGCTTAGAAAACCCGAAACCGACAATGCTCCTAAATCTCTCATCCAAACCCCAATCTGGCGCTTGCGCTCTCCGCCCCCATGAGGGCCTAGGCTGGTGCTTTAAGAGCTTTGAGTGTCCCTTTAATCCCTGTTTACCCGTCATCAAATCACTGTGGCATCATTGTGTTTTGTACACTTCCTGACCTAAAATGAGCGCTAGAGGGTATCCCCCCCAATGCAGTACTTTGTAAATACTGTGTTGATTCTGAAAACATTTAGCCTTTTGTTCACCCGATGTGCTAGGCCAGACCCATGGTCCCATCTGTAAGTTTTAGACTTCTAGACACTGACATTTCCTACGAGGCCACTAATTTAGGGGGATATGCCCACAGCACCCGAACTCTGCTTTATAGCAACACATATGCTAATAGGATCGTCGTTAAACCGTGGTCCATTTCTTGCCGTCGATGTTTTTGTTCTGGGGCTGAAGACCCTAATGCCACAATGCTGTATTTTGGAGCACAAAGCAAACTAAGGCACATAAGGTGCTTCAGTGCTTGGGTAAACTAACGATTGCCGTTCTGGTTTTCCTAGGCCAGATCTGCCTACAGACCAATTGTATAAAAGTAGGCCAGAGTTTTTTTTCTACCTAAATTATGTGTCCTCACTTTTCTATTCAGATTTGAACATTAGAAGCAGACCTAGGAGAAAGCAAATTTGAAATCCGTAATAAAATGTTTTATACTCAAGTACATGATCCAAGTGGTTTTTTTTAACTCGTTGAGGTAGTATTGTTATAGTCATAAAAGATAGAGATTTTGTAATATGGAACATAGTGACCCTACTAAAACTTTTTTAAGTCCCTCTTCATATAGTCTGTTAATTTTATTATGCTCCAAATGTATCAACTGAATTTTTAAAGCTTCTGATTCCCTCAGGTTGTCAGAGCGGAACTGCATTGAGATTGTGAATAAATTGATTGCTCAGAAACAGCTAGAAGTAGTTCATACACTTGATGGGAAGGAATATGTTACTCCAGCCCAGATTAGTAAAGAAATGAGAGATGAGCTACATATTCGAGGTGGTAAGTAATTCTTTGTTTGTTTGTTTGTGTCTGATTCTTTGGAAGGGAAAAAAAACTTAAAACCATGAATGATAAGTTACTTGGAGATTTTTAGACACCCGTCTCAAGTATCAATATGGTAATAGCCTTAATATTTTTAACTGGTTCAGGTCAACATGATCATATAATTTAAATGAAGTCAGATACTGTCATTTTACAAATAGCATTATTTTTAGTTATATGCCTGTGAATTAATTAGTTGTTCCTCATCACAGTTCATGAATTTATTGTGTAACTCAGGAAGGTACTTAGCTGGCTATTAGAGTGCTATTTGTGAAGAGGGTACAGATTTTATATGATTATAGGTTGCTGAAAAGCAAAGTTGTGCTATCATGCCCCTTTTTTAAACTTAAAGTAGTTGCAAATTAGGAAACAATTCAATACCATGCTACACCTGTTACACTGTATGAAATGCTGTTACAAGCACACACACACAGTTTTTGTTTTCCTTTGTCTTTTAAAAATTTGAACAAACTACGGAGCTCATTTGAACACTGATTAAAATAGAAACAACTATGAAATCAACTCTTCATTAACTGTTATCAGATAAACCCTTGGTGTTTGCTTTCTTTATTTCCCTGCATAGTGCTAATAAAACATTAGCGGTAATTTAGAGTACTTAACATTTTCTATTTGTACTAGGTGGGTGTCTACCAATTTTAAATAATTGAAAACATAATTCATCCAAATTTAGTTGTCAGTAACTCTTTGGTCACAGCAGACAAATCGTGAAGAGAGATAAATAGCCTCCATAGGTCTGATCAACTTCTATATAATTTGATGCTCATAATTGGCCTAATATGACAAATGATACTTTGAAAATAAAGAATTGCCTAGGCCTTTAGCCATGAAGACTTAAGCAGCTAGTGGTTTGAATTTGAAGATTGTTACTGTGGCTGTATGTCCTTTGTAGAAGGAGGACTTCGACTGTCTAAAATGCAGATCTGTTAGAATTTACAGTTTTTTGGCTAGTGTGTACTTATACATAATTTAAAATAAATGAATGTCTTTTCTTTAAAGGTCGAGTAAACATTGTTGATCTGCAACAGGTAAATTTTTAATTAATAACGTTTTTCCTATGATTTGTCAATTTTTTGATGCTATGAATTTTTTCAATGTTGTAAGTATTCACTAATACAAGTATGAGATTTTGTATGATGTTTGTGAAGAAATAATTGTATTTTTCGCTAATGCACTAAATTAATTCAATAAGTCCTGATAGGGTGAATCAATTTAGTAAGTTCTTCCTTAGTTGAATTGCTTATTCTTTATTCTTTACTAAATAAACTCAAATTTTGTCATTTTATGTAATTACATGATCTACATGATTTTGGGAGAAAAATCACTAACTTTATGTTCACTTGTTTTTAGTATGTGGAAATAATAGGAAAATATTAAAAAATAGAAGATAATTTTAGAAACTCTATGTGCATATGTCATCACCAAGATACACTGTATACAAAAAACTGGTGAATCTTTTGTAAAATGGTGCCTGTTATATGAAAATGTAACTTTCCTAGAAAGTATAATTGGTCAGAAGTGACAATAAATAAGCGATAAACCTCTACTTTTTTATTTGACTAATACTTTTTATAGTATTTCAAATAAATTTGAAATCCAACTGAGAGTAAGTTTTTAAAAAGGTACTAAATATATCATTTTGAACATATGAAACAATATGAACTTGTCACTACAGAATTTGTATTTATTTTCCAGGTAATTAATGTGGATCTGACTCATATTGAAAATAGAATTGGTGACATTATTAAATCAGAAAAACATGTTCAGCTAGTGTTGGGACAGTTGATAGATGAGTAAGTAAAATATTTAAGAGCACTTTCTTGTGTAGTTTTTTTTAATAGTGTTTATATTTAAATTTTGAACAATTGTGGCCAATTTGGTATTTTGTCTAGAACTCTTATCATGTTGATTTTCAGTATAAGGATCATTGCACTTAAAAAGTAAGTGCTTAGTAGTGTGGAGTAGTTGGAAATAATATAAACTTAGATTTTTTTCCTATTATCTTAAAATAACACAAAACATAATTTTTATAATCTTTCTTATGTGATCATAACTGTGTGAAAGTAAATTTGTTCAACAATATTAATGAAAATGACTGCAGAATGTCCATTGTCCATAAAGAAGTTCTAACAGTCATCATTTGATTAACCTTACATTTAGCTACATTGATTAAAAAAAGATTTTCAGAATATGAGTAATGAATAGCATTTACCTAAATATAGCCTATTCATTAATTTTGGGTCATACCTTAGTGCAGTGCAACATAAACTAAACGTAAAGTTAATTGGTTGTTTTTGTTTGTTTGTTTTTACTATCAGAAACTATTTGGATCGGTTAGCAGAAGAGGTAAATGATAAATTGCAAGAAAGTGGCCAAGTAACTATATCAGAACTGTGTAAAACCTATGATCTGCCTGGAAACTTTCTGACACAGGTATATTTCTTCCTAACAGTAAAATGTGTCTTTTCAGAAAAAAATACACAAAAGACTTAATGGGGTGGAAGGAACTAGGCTTTCTTGCCATTAAATGACGTTTTGCAAGGGTTTGACTGTTGTAGCAACTTATCTTGGGTGTACTTCTTATACATTGGTGGCTCTGATGAGACTGTTTAGAAATGATTTTAATCTTCCTGGGCCCAGTGATACTGAAAAAATAATTAATAGGCCAAGTTGTAGCCCTGCTTTGATGTAGTAGCAAGAATGTCATAAGTGCATAGGTTTATTTAATGATTCTGATATCAGCTGTACAGAAACTTTAATCAACATATCTATAGTTCTGATTGCCCAGTTGTATTTTAAGAAATAACTGATGAAGATTATAATTTAGAGGGGGTAATGCTAGCATTTGTTGGGAAAAGTTCAGGGATGCTGTTAACTATCCTGTAGTGTACAGGACATCCCCACAACAAAGTATTTTCATTGCCCAAAATGTCAGTAACACCGTCTTTTGATGTCATCTTTTCTCCTCCTCCAAACTGTCAATGTGATCGGAAGGAGAATCAAGGAATCTCTAGTAATCTTTTATTTTTAGGTCAGTACTCGATTTACTTGTGTCAATACTCGATTTACACTGTAATGGCTGTGTTACCCGAAAATAGAGGCTATTTCCATGTTTGTTCATTTTCTTTATTCTTTCTAAAGATAGTTTGACATTTTAGAATTATCAAAGTCCATTTAATACAGTGGAAAGTGCACAGGCTTTTAGACCTTTATTTGAATTGTCTGTGCCACTGCTTAATTGTTCAATGTTAGAAAAATTATTTCATCTGTTTTGTGATTCAACTTACAATCTGTAAAATGGGTATAATTGCCTTTTCTCATAGACTGCAGCGGGGTTATATGCGTAGTATACCTAGTGAAATGTCTGGCACAATGGAGGCACTCAATAAACGATGGTTCTGTTTTGTACTTACTGGAATAAATAAGGGGAAAGCCAAATTTCTTTATATAGGTATATATCACTTTAAGAAAAATTTATAAAAATGTACCTAACCATAGTTACATGGAATTAATTTATACCACCAACATATTTACCCATTTCAAGAGAGTGATTTCTCCTCATTGTATCTAAAATACCATATTTATGATGCCCTGGCTGTTGTGGCTCAGTTGGATTGAGTGTTGGCTGCAAACTGAAAGGTCGCCTGTTGGAATTCCCAGTCAGGGCACAGGCCTGGGTTGCAGGCCAGGTCCCCAGTGTATGTCTCCCATATCAATGTTTTTCTCTCTCTTTCTCCCTCTTTTCCCCTCTGTCTGAAATAAATACATGAAATCTTTAAAAATAAAATAAAATACCATTTAAGGTATAGATGTATTTTACGTAGTATTTCAGGGGTCTAAGTCTATTTTGAATGAAAAAAATACATGTTAATTACAGAATATCAAAAAAAATTTTTTTTAAACTCTTCTTAAAAATATCAAAATTTATCTAAATGATTTTTAAATAAAACTGTGCTGCTGATACATTTTAAAAATGAATATGGTTTCTTAATGTTTTTAGTTCTAATTTTTCTGAATAGCACAAGCAATATTATAGAAACTTATTAAAAATTGTTTGAAAAGCATTTTTCTATACCATAAAAGTATCAACTAGGCTGACTTGAGTAGATTTAGATTTAACTTATGCTGGGATGTGAAATATGTCCAGACTTAATTCAGATGTCCCTGACTTCAGTTATACTATACCTATGCAGAAATACACTCCTGAGGTTACTAAGAAATCAGGTTTTCTACCAGTGTAGATTTCTGGGCACAGATAAGTTGTTAATATTTTCATCAAAGAAGATAATTTTTCAGGTTCCCTAGGTTGCAAAATCTTGGAATATTTATTTCTCTCTGTTAGTATTAGAAGCTGCAGAGAGGGTCTTCTCTGAGACTCACATGTATGTCTTAGCTGTCTGTATGTTTCAGATTGCCTATATCAGGAAAAGTGGTTAACCAATCATTTTTATTTCACATTAGAAATAGCTCTATTAGCGGGTAGCTAAGCCCTTTACTGTATCAGCTATTTGACTCATTCAGTGCTTGGCTCTGCTGTGAGACTATGATATTTCCTAGATCATAAATGTTGATTTTGGTTTATATATCTTATTTATGCTTGTTGAAGTTTCTCGATTATATGGTTAATACATCAACATGCAGCATGACTTTAGTACAACTATACAAATACATATGTAATTTTTTCTTTCAAATTTATAAAATTTTGAATGTTTACTCCCAGGCACTAACTCAGCGACTAGGCAGAATTATAAATGGACACATTGATCTTGATAACAGAGGAGTAATATTTACTGAAGCTTTTGTAGCTCGACATAAAGCACGTATCCGCGGACTGTTCAGTGCTATTACCCGGTAAGCATGTTTTAAAGTCTGTACATTCCTTTGATCATGGTGTGTATTATTTTTTCCTAGCAGCTTTTATTTTAAGCTAAATCTCATTCAGGACCCCAGTTTATTAAACAGATAAAAAGGGGAATGTCTGTGAAATGGGATTGGGGTTTCCAGAGCCCTAGAATGTAGGTGCTGAACTTTCTCTAACCCACGTCCTCTTCTCCCAATCCTCACCACTCACATGGCCCCAGATGCACTTCTGCAGAATGCCCAGATCAGCATGTAAAATCACTCTGGGGTCATGGAAAAGGCAAGTTAAAGCCAGAAGTCTTTGGGTCACAGCTCTACAAACAGTAACAATATGACCTTGAGCAGATAAGTCATTCAGCGAACTTCTTTGGGCCTTAGATGGTGCTAGGTGATTTTAAAACTCTTATTACTAAACAACATTCTGCAGTTCTAGTGAGTAACAATGTTACCTTGAAAATCACTTCAACATTTCTAAAATAAGAATTTTCGAAATGTTTTGGGCCTATGTGTCAAACTCCAGTGTGGACTTAAGAAAACCTACATTCTCAATTATCTTCTCTCTCCTGTGTCATTAACTTTATCTCAGTCCCACCAGCATTTAAATGTGTTCAGATTGCTCCATTTGAAAACAAAAAAACCTCTCAACCCCATATTCCTCTACATTTACTGTCTTGTTTCTTAAAGTGGACCTTCTCAAGAGTTGATGTCTACATTTGCTGTCTCAGTTCTCTTACCTTCTGTCACTCTCAACTCACCCGCCTTGCTTCTGTCACCTAAGGAGCAGTGCTGTCAGTATCACTCTGTCCTTGTTTTACTTGACTTTGCAGCAATGTTTAACTCCAGTTATGTCTTCCTTCTTGAAATGTTCTCATCCCCACCCCCTTTTTTAAACACCCCACTTTACTAGTTCCTTTTTACCATTTTTGGCTATACCTTCTAAGTCATCTTCTCTAGTTCTTCCTCTTTTCCCTAGCCTTTAAAGTTTTGTTTTAGGCCATCTTTTCAGTCCTGTACTGTCTCCTACGTGATTTCACCATCTTTTAAATTCCAGACTGATACTACCCACACAGCATCTCTGTTGAAATGTTTTACAAGTGCCTCAAATTCAACACATTTAAAATAACTCACTATTCCTGAGCTGTCCCACTCCCCCTCCCACCGAATCAATTCTTTCACTTGTGTTTCCATTACCAGCATATGTTACCATTTGGTTGGTTTTGCCAGAAACCTAGGAGTCATCCTCTATAACATTCTCTCTCTTACCTCCCTTTCCAGAACACAAAGTCTTTTGAATTCTGTATTCTAAATATGTAATCTTTATTTGACATCCTTGTTCCCACCACTTTATTTTTTTCCCCTGGACTGTTTTAGTAGGATTTTAACTATGTTTAACTATCCTTTCTATGTTTAATACATTCCAGACATTTTTTACACAGCAGCCACAGTCATTTCTTTTTGTCATTCAGCAAATAAAAAACATTTATTAAAAACCTAATATGTGCAAAGCACTGTGATATAAAAGACTAACAGGTTAGAAGGGTGAACTTGCAATCCAACAATTTTCATCTTTTTTTATTAATACCTCACAAAAAAGTTGCAGGAGAACCTTTATCTTTCTGTGCCATTTGAAAGGAAGTTGCTGTTATGATGTCCCATCCCCACAGATACTTCAGTCTGTGTGTCCTACAAACAAGGGTGTTGTGCTATGTAACTGTAATACAAACATCAAATCCACAAAATTGACATTGATGTATTACTACCATCCAGTCCTTGGATCCCATTCATGTTTTACTAATTATTCCAGTAATGTCCTTTATAAAAAGGATCACATATTTCATTTAATCAAAATGTCTCCTTATTCACCTTCAACCTGCAACACTTACTTTGTCTTTCCTTGACTTTTGTGACCTTGACACTTTGGAAGATCATGTGCTAGTCATTTTGTGGAATGTTCAATCTTGCTCGTCTACTGTTTTTTCATGCTGGTATTCAGGTTGTGCATATTTGGCAGGAATAATACAGATTCTGTGTTCTTGTTTATTCAGTGCTATCAGGTGGCATACACTTTAGTTTTTTTTCCAGTTAGTGATGATGTGCATGATAACTTCTTAATAAGGAGATATCTGCTGGGCTTCTCCTAATGATACTTGATTTTTCTTTTTAATCAAGTGTGCGAAGGGCAGTTTTAGATTGTGTAAATTATCCTGTGTTCCAACAAACTTTCAGTTTATTCATTTATTTGAATCAGTATGGACTGAATGGATCCCATTTTATTCATTGGATTATAGCTGGTTATTATCATTAGTATTTAGTATTTCAGATTGGCTCCGGTTAAGCTACTGGAAGGCCCTTCAGGCTGCTTTCTGTGTACTTCTGTCTGACATTTCCCCATCATTCTTGAAGTACTTCTTTTCTTTATCACACAAGAAGTTTCAGGCTCAGTATAATCTTTCCCTGTCCCAGCCCTGAATTCAGCCATTTTCTCAGGGAGTCTTAGTTCCTTTTGGTAGTACATAGTATTTAGAAACCAAGATCTGGATATTGGACTGCTTATCACTATTTGATTATCACTGCTTCCAAGCCCTCTCAGCAGATAAAACTAAAGAATACACATACACACATGTATATACCCTACTCTCTCTATATATGTGTATTTCTGTATCCTTATCTGTGTTTATTAAAAACCGTGAGTTCACACTCAGACCTCTGCTTCCCTTGCAACACTGAAGTTTTGTTGTAGTTTTCTCCTTTTTCATATCTGTAACTCCCTTCTCTGGCTGTGAGGAGCCTAGCTTTCACTTTCTTTAACATATTTACTTTGGTTCATTCCTTTTTATGTAACTGGTCTCCCATTGCTGCTACAGCTCTCTTCCCTGTGGGGAGACCTTCCTTACTCCACATAGTCCCTTGTAATTTGTAGCAGATCAGCATCCTAACTCAAGAAACTGGTCATTGTAGTTGTTTCTGGGAGAAGAACTGAGTGGCTGAGTGCTAGGAATGGATGTAGACTAACTTTTGTAATTTTTTGTACTCTATGCATCTGTTTTTAGTCAAAAAATAAAAATTATTTTTCCTATTGACAATTTTTTGACTATTGTGGTGAGTGTAGTTATCAGATGCAGCAAATAATACAGGGGTGGTAAAAGTAGGTTAACAGTTGTGAATGTGTGAAACAGTTAATAAAGCGATTATAATAATGATAACCTACATGTCTTTTTCCATATGAACAATTGTAAACCTACTTTTGCCCACCCTGTATTTTTATGCTTCAGAGCACCCTTGAGTTTCTCTAGGGAGAGGTATTATCAAACCATGAGGGTAAAACAAATTCTAAGCCTTGAAAGAGGTTGCTAGGCTGTGTGGCTTTAAAATAGCTCCATTTAATGCACTGTACCTTCATATTTGCCTCTTAAATATAAAGAACCACCCCACATTTTTGGTCTACCTTCAAAGAAAATGCCTGCATCTTTGATTAAAAAAGGATTTATATTTATTGTTGTTCTCAGTAGCCAGAAAGGAGAGCAGAAAGTAATTAGTGAGAAGAGTAAGATATATATATAGGTAAACTAAACTACACTGTTTTTCAAATTAAATTAAAAATTGAGCAGCTACATTTCTTTTTTAATTAATTAATTAACTTTGTATTGTTCAATTACAGTCATCCTGCTTTTTTCCCTGTTGCTCTACCCTTCCTGCCCCCCCACTCCCACAGTCAATCCCCACCCCATTGTCCATGCCCATGAGTCCTTTATATATGTACCTTAACTAGTCCCTTCCCTGTCTTTTCTTCCTCAACATTTTAATTATGATGTGTCTTGGAGTGGGCTTCTTTGGGTTCTTGATTGGGACCGTCTGTGCCTCCTGAATTTGCGTAACTTTTCATCTCACCAAGTTAAGGACGTTTTCTGTCATTATTTTTTCAAACAGGTTTTCTATCCCTTGCTCCTTTTCTTCTCTTTGTGATATTTCTATGATGTGAATGTTGTTATATTTCATGTTGTCCTTAAGTTCCCTTACAAGGGGTGTGCAGCCTTTTGGCATCTCTGCACCACATTGGAAGAAGAGTTGCCTTGGGACATACAGTAAATACATCACAATACATAATCACAAAAAAAGAAATCTCATAATATGTTTTAAATAAATGTATGATTTTGTGTTGGGTCACATTCACAGCCATCCTGGGCTGCATGTGGCCCATGAGCTACAGGTTGGACACCTCTGTGCTTAAACTATCCTCGTACTTTTTGAGTCTTTCTTTGTTTTGTTACTCTGCCTGGGTATTTCTACCTTGTCTTCCAGCTCACTCATGCAGTCCTCAAGCAGCTACATTTCATTGTATAAAAAAAGAGATTTTGTGCAGTTCAATTAAGCATTTATTGAACACCCACATTAAATTATACACCCAGAAATTCTAAGATAAAGTTCTTCAAGGAGCCCCCTACAGTTTTGTAGGAATGTGTAGAGATAGAAGGGGACAGAATGTACACACACACACACACACACACACACAAACAAGAAGGCTGTAATCATTAGAAGATGGACAGAAGAGAGAGCAGTGTACCTAATTGGACCTAATTGACTTGGGAGCTCTAGATAGTTTAGCTGAAAAATTTGGGTAAAAATTCAATGCAAAACAAATTGATTCATACAAGAATTTGGCTATATTTGACTAAAATATAATAATTTAGACAAAAATTCCCAGACACAGGTGTTTTGAATACATACCAATTTATACCTAGACAGCTGTTACTGCTCTCCCAAGTTTGTCATAGAGAAATTTATATCATCTTAAATAATCAACAATAGAGGATGGAATAGTTGAATTAACTTAAAAGTCTCTTATTTATATACATAAAAATAAAAATAAACTATACTTATACCAGAAAACAGGCATAATTGGCTTAAAATGAATAGGGAAAAATTAAGGTCAGAAGAAGTCTAGAACTATTTTTTATAGTTTCCTTACTTAGAAAATGATAACTATTATAAAATAAAAGCACTCCCATGATCTCCCTAAAATAAATGAAAATGTGCATCCACACAAGAACATGAACACAAATTTTCGTAGAAGCATTATTTATGATAGCCTCAAACTAGAAACAGTCAAATGTTTATCGACTAATCTGTGGATAAGCAAAATGTGGTATGTCCGTACAATGGAATGCTTGCCGTTCAGTGATTAAAAAGGGGAAAATACTGGTTCATACTCAATCATGAGTCGTAAAAACATGCGAAGTGAAAGAAGCAAGACATAAAAGATCACATGTTGATTTCATTTACATGAAATTTTTAGAAATACAAATTTATAGAGGCAGAAAAACAGTGGTTTTCTAGGTCAACAGTCCACAACCTGTTTGGCATCAGGCACCTGTTTCATGGAAGGCAATTTTTCCACAGATGGGGAATGGGGGGATATTTTCTGAATGACTCAAGCGCATTATGTTCAAGTTCATCTTGTGCTGTGTGGCCTGGTTCCTAACAGGCCCAGACCAGTATCAGTCTGCAGCCCAGAGGTTGGGGCCCCCTGCTCTAGGTCTAGGGGTCCCAGCAGTAATTAAATGAAAACATTAATTTAAAATTTTGGGATAATGGAAATGTGCTAAAACAGGATTGCAGTAATGATTGCTCAACTGTGAATTTATTAAGATCATTGATTTGTAGAAGTATATTAACAGTAAAGCTTTTTTAAAAAATTGCATAGTCAAGCCCTGGCTGGCGTAGCTCAGTGGATTGAGCGCGGGCTGGGAACCAAAGTGTCCCAGGTTCGATTCCCAGCCAGGGTACATTCCTGGGTTGCAGGCCATAACCCCCAGCAACCGCACATTGATGTTTCTCTCTCTCTCTCTATCTCCCTCCCTTCCCTCTCTAAAAATGAATAAAATCTTAAAAAAAAAAAAAGAAACTAAATTAAAAAAAAAATTGCATAGTCGTTACAGAAAATAGCGATTAGCAAGAAAAGAGCATTTTAAGTTGATCCCTCTCAGTCATCCACCTCATCTGAGATTGTATCATTTAAGACTTCTTCCAGTACATCTGTGGGCTCATTTTTCTTCAGAAATAGAATCATATAACATTGACTTGACTATTTCCAGGTAGGGAGAGAGCATCCCAGACAGAAAGAATAAAGAAAAACAAACATGCAATAAAGGGCAAGGCAGAGTTAGGTATCACTAAATCTGAGATAAAGACTTTAGTGGAAAGTAAATTGATCCCAGATTAGGAAGAAAGATCTATTGATCAGCTATTTTAGTAGCATAATTCTCATTAAGGATGTACAATGTAATGCAGTTTTTGCCTTCATTTATTTATTGTATGTTAATTGATATTTTTATAAACTAATTCCAGTTATTTTTTAATTCATAAATATGTATAACTATAACAAGTAAGAATTTTGGTGTTTTTTTTCCATAAAAGGCCTACAGCTTTGAATTCTTTGATATCAAAATATGGATTTCAGGAGCAGCTTCTTTACTGTGAGTTTTATTTATATTTATATCACCTAATTAGAGGCTGAACAGACTATTAATATAAAATGTACTAATTTTAATGTTTTTACCTCTTTTAATCTTTACACTTATGTAATCAGAATATTTCTGGTTGAAAAATTTCTCAATACTAATTTTTACATATGTTTCTGTTATACCCACCAAATTATTTATTGTTGGCTGCCATAAAGGGAGTACAAAGAAAAAAAAACACTGTGTATGTGTGTTTGTATATAAATACTCTGTTAGGCGTATACATATATAGAGAGAAATTTATAATTGTAGTACTAAGAATAATTTTTAGTTTGTTTCTTACAGATTTTTACTACATTTTCTAAAACAAAGTAAATAGTGTTTATCTAAAAAAATTTTACAAAGATTTTATACCAATAAAAATATATTCTTAGCATTTAAACAGAATAATACAATATCTCCAAAATAATCTTGGCTCATTACCTATTTTGTATGTCTGTTTATGAAGCTTTTTGAGGGTTTGAGGGTTATTTTAAAGCTTTGATGTAATAATTTTCAAAAGCAACAACTTGATCTTTTGACTTATATCTCTGCAAATATAAGAATTAAAATAAAGAATGGGAAAAATTCAAGTATGGAACAAAAAATTATTTTTATTCACTGTTTTTCAGAATATGGAATTAAATTTAAATTCTTTAAGATGTATTTAAAATTAAAATGTGACATATTTTGGAATCTACATAAATGAAGGTTGGTGGGACTTCATTATAATATAAAGTTCTTCAAGTAATTACCAGTAACTTGATAACTTTGGTTTGAATTTAGCATTTAAAATTATGTGTTGCAGTTTATTAAGAAATGTAGACTTTTCTGATGAATTCTAATTTACTCAGTATTGAAATTCTGAATTCATATGTAAACTGATTTTTATTTCCATTAAAGGCTAATTTTCATAGACCTTATTTGTGCCAAACACCTTTGAATGTGCTTGCTAATAATGCACTTAGAAATAATTTCCTCCTGTCAACTTTGTCTTTTTTTTAGGGGATTTTGATATTTAGTTAAATGTTATTGTTTAAGTAAAAAGTGTAAATATGGTGTTGATCATAGCACTATCCAGTTCTTGGACTGGCTTGAGTCTGTTGCTGTTGGTGGTGGTGGTGGTGATGGTGGTGGTAGTGATATTTAGTTAACATTTATTTATCGAGTGCTTATGATATGCCAGCTACAGTTCCAAGCATTTTACTTGAATACAACTACCCCATAAAATAGGTATTATTATTATCCCCATTTCACAGATGAGAAAATGAAAACATAAATAAAATGACTTGTCCAAAGTTTGTCAGTTAGTAAGTGCAGAGATAAGATTTGGACTTAGGCTGTCTGCATCCAGGTCCATGCTCTGAACCACAGCACTATGCTTCTTTTTATAGGTAACATTCAAATGTATTGCTCCAGTTTAAATAGTGGAAGTATAATAACTTATAAAAATTTTCATGGCTTTATTTCACATTGTTGATTCTAATATGATCTAGGTATGTTGATTTTCTAAATATGGTAACATCTGTTCTCAAAGTATTTAATCATCTCCTTTTAAACAAAACATGAGATTAAATAATGGCATGTTTTTTTCCCCCAAAATTACTCAAAGTAAAAATTCAGTGTTATTAAGTAGGTTTTACAAGTTGAGCATCTTTAGCTAGTTGCCAAAATTGTCTGAATTTATGACCTGAGTATTCTCATAAATGGCAGAAAAGTTTTGTCTAAAATATGTTTTCATTTTTGCAATTTGAACTTTAAATTGCATTTTTAAAGGTTAAGAATAACTAAATTGTAAAATAGTAAAGTTTGGGGTTTGTTGAGATGTATTACCTGCTCTGATTTATTTCTATTTGTTTGGTTTTGTTTTAAGCTGTCCTTGAGGAACTTGTTAATAGTGGACGCTTACGAGGCACTGTGGTTGGTGGGAGACAAGATAAGGCGGTGTTTGTGCCTGACATCTATTCCAAAACACAAAGTACTTGGGTGGATTCCTTTTTCAGGCAGAATGGCTATCTAGGTAACTTTTTTTCCTAAGACACTAAAACTTTTTCTAATACTAACCACGTTCTTAGAAAGATTTATAACAGTTCTCTTTGTGTGTAAAAGTAGTCACACTGTAGGTTTTTGTGGGTCTTTGAAACTGAGTTTAATTCCATAGTTATTGAACTGTTATAAAAAGTCCAAAATCTGGCATTACTTGTTACCAACCTTCCAGAGATATACAACTTCAAGTAATTTTTAATGCATAAAAAGTAATTACACTTATATTTTATGAAGTTGCCCAGTTCTTCAGGTATAATATTTTAGGAGTATTTTAATGGCTATCAACTTTATAGTGTTTGTTTTTATTAGTTATACAATATTTCAGAAACATTGAAGTTATTCTAAATTTGGTTTCTGAGGCTCTGTCATTTCAATAATGTAGATTGATTGAATTTAGTCATTAAAGCAGTTAGCAAATAAATATATATATATCTCACTTACTTTAATTTTATAACCCAGTCAAACCATGTAGGCATCAGTTGCTTTCTCAGTTATAAACCTGTGAGTCATTAGTGTTCAGATACTTTAAATGCATGCTAGAATATGGGATGTAGCTTATGTTTTCTTGGCTTTCCTTAGGTACTTCCTAGTTTTTTCAACCACGAACTTGGATTAGAAATTCATTATAATTGGTTTTCTTAAACATGATTACTTAGGGATGGAGAGAAGACAGTAGATATCTTCAATAACTTTAATAGTTGTAAATTTGTCATCATTTTTTACTTTTGTGTTATATGCTAAATCTCTTACTAGTTTAAATTAAACTGAAGAATTACTTTGTCATAAGTTGTCTTGATGAAACATTTGAAAAATAAATTCAATTGCTCTATTTAACTGTAATAAGCAAACTAAATTCCAGTGTTTTTTTCTTGGTTTAAATCATTCATTCTCCTTCGTCTACCCTTCCTACTTCTGTTTCTCTGTAGTTCTCATGTTTCCCTTTGACCTCTCAACTAGAGAGGGAGTAAAGCAGCTGGGATTAAGGAAGTACTTGAACCCATTTTTCTACAAACGTGTTTAGTAATAAAAATTTGGGAAGGTAATATAAGTAGGGAATACATTGTGGTACATATCTATGCTTTATTCTTAAAAAAGATAAAAGATACTAGAATATAATGCATCCACAAAGAATAGAGTTTGGCAGAATTTAACTTTTTCTAAGATTTCTAAAAACTGAACATTGACAACTCTCTTCCGACCTTGTGATGTATTTCTAGAATTTGATGCTTTGTCCAGACTTGGAATCCCAGATGCTGTAAGCTACATAAAGAAAAGATACAAGAATGCACAACTCTTGTTTTTGAAAGCAGCTTGTGTTGGTCAAGGACTCGTGGATCAGGTGGAAGCCTCAGTAGAGGAAGCCATCAGCTCTGGAACATGGGTTGATATTGCAGTATGTTTTATTCTTTTTCTCCTTAATTTTTATTTAAACCAGTGGCAACTGATATTTCACCAGTATATGCCAATTTAAGAATTAGGATACATAAAGGTCTTGGCTTCAGAGCCAAATTCTGGCAGTCATTGTTTCAAGAAAAATAATATTAATCATTTTACGCTTAAAGATTTTCTAGCTTTGAAGTTAGGTGACCCTTTATATGGATAGACAACAACCAGGATTCTATAAATCTCAAACAAGCAAACACTGTAGCACTCGTGTAAGTCCTGCCACACAAACTGGTGAGACTTCTCACAATCTTATCCAAGCATTTACAACTTTGCTGATGACATCAGGCTTCTTGTCTATTCCTTATCCATTAATCTCTGCTAATAAGCTAATACAAGCTGCTTTAGCACTGATAGCCTTTTTACAGCATTGCGCGTTGACCTGCCTTTATTATGCCAAGAAGATAAGTGTAGGTGAAGAAAAGGAAACAAAAGGCCAATTCATTATTTACTAGTTTGGGCCCAGACTCTTTATATAGTAGAACATTGCTTGTTTTGGATATATGAGTTCCTGGAGATTACAGATATAAGTGTGTATTTATTCACTGAACAAGTTAAGTGCCTTCTGTGTGCCAGGCACCATTTTACTAGATGGCAGTGTGGTGTCCAGATAAGGGTCCTGCTGTCAGGGAGGGCTGCTTTCATTGGGGGTAAATAGTTAATGAAAATGATAATTTCAGATACTGAAAAGAGCTAAAAAAGAAATATATATTTGGAGGTAAAGTTATCTAGATTTGATGGTGGATCGTTTGGAAGTGTATGAGAGGAGCTGAGTGTGACTTGCAGATTTGGAACCGTTAACTGAGATGGGGGAGAGTAGGACAGAGAGTTGCAGATCACTGTTGTTTGGGCCTGGTAAATTTCAGATGCCTATTAGTCATAGGAAGCGGAAGGGTAGGGAAGCTGTAGGATTAGGGACCAGAACTCAGAATGATGATGAAAGAAGAAATGTAATTTGGGAGTTATCAGCACATAGATGGTTCTGAAGGCCATTGGACCTAATGAGATCATCTAGGGAGAGTACATATATAGCAAGTGGTTTGTCTGTGATATATTGCATTTACAATTTTTTATCTGTTTGTAATTCTAGCCTCTGCTACCCAGTTCTATATCAGTTGAAGATGCTGCAATGTTGCTTCAACAAGTGATGAGAGCATTCAGCAAACAGCCTTCAGCTGTAGTCTTTAATGACACAGTTGTAGTCAGTGAAAAATTTATAAATGACTGTACAGAACTCTTCAGTGAACTGATGCACCAAAAAGCTGAAAAGGTATGCCAGATTTTTTTTCACCTAGCAATCTTAACAGTATGTTCATCTGGTATCTTTAAAAAATGGGGTAAGCTGCATATTCAGAAATAAACACCGTGTTTTATACATCATTTTCCTATACTGTACCATTCCTTTTTATTTCCTCTCCTGGAGTTGTTTTTCTCCTTCTTTACTCCCATCAGAAGATATAAGTTAGAACTTAGGGAGCTGATTTTATGAATTGAAATTATATAAATGAAATTATACACTTCACATTTAAGTTATATGAAGTTAAGGTATTGGTCCAACATTAAAATCCATAAGTACACAGTGTATTTATCTATCACTACATAACATAGTAACTAAATCTATCAGAGCCTCATTAATTTTACCTGTTCAAGGTGCACACACCAGGCAATTTACTGAGGAAAGAAAGTGTTTGTTACTATCAAAGTACAATAATTCCTCTAAGCAACTATTGTCAAAGTAGAGGGCATTCCAAGTCTGTTTTAAGGACTATTTGATTGATGTTTCTAGTTAGTAGCCCCATCTACTTATAAAGCTTACTCACAAATAGGTAGAACCAGACTATTTATCTTAGATTGTTAATAAATTCATGAGAGCTTATTAAACATGTAAATAATTTATATTTATCTGTATTCCTTTCAAGCTCTTAAAAGTCTGAAAAGGATAATTTTCTACATTTGAGCTGCTAAGTAGCAGAGAGGAGTAAAAAGTGCACACACAGCATTGGTATCAGTAAACCTGAGTTCTGTTCTCAACTTATTTACTCTCTATTTGACTCTGGACAACTAGATGTCCAGTTTCCTCACCGTCAGAGAAAGGATAGCGATTCCCCCTCTCCAAAGGGTAACTGTAAATAAAGGAAGGATGCACATAAAATCTCTGCTACGTGTTAGCTACCAGTTACTAAATGCCTATATTATTATTTTTATTTGTGACCTTTGGCTAAAATAAGAACTTAATATTATCATCAGTTTTTTTCCTTGTGCTCTTCCCTCCAAACACAAAAATAAATTCAGAAAAACAAAACCAAGGGGGAGGGTAGAAGTAAGGGAGGGAGGTGGGTTTGGAGGGGTTGGGGGAAAGGGTGGGGAGGAAATGCAACTGTAATTGAACAACAATACAATGAAATTTTTAAAAAAGGAAAACAGGTCATTTAATCATTTGAACATTTTTCTTTGGAAAACCAAAAGGAAAATACCATTTTTAACATGGAAATGGACTTTATCACTACAGATATGAGCCCTTTTCCATGATAACCATTTTCTGAACTGAGAAATAGTTTGTTGTTCTTAACATAAATTTTTTAAAAGCAGAAATCAAAAATGAGTCCAGAGGAGGGGAAATTTATATGCTAAGTGTGTATGTAGTTCATATATGCTCATTATGGTAGAGTTGGGTGCTGGTGGAGATTTTATCATCTTTCTAGTAATCTCAGGTCTCTAAAAGAAAGGGAGTAAGGGTCATCTGTTAAGCAGTGGCAAAACTAGCCAATAACAGCTGAAGAAGATTGTATTTGATGCTGTGTGATCAGTTGGTTGTTCAGTGACCAGACAGGATTTCTCATTAGCTGAAATGGATACAAAATCCAAGATTAGCAAAGAAAGAGGCCAATTTTTGGCAAAGAGAAACAGTCTCAGTGACAACTGCAAGACACATCTTAGCAACAAAACCAAACAAGAATAATTAGGATGTGAGTACATAAGACAACTTTTATTTTATGCTTTTGTAATGTGACATATTTATGCCTATCAAAAAAAAACTTTGTTTTTATTTTAGGAACTGAAAAATAATCCAGTTCATTTAATAACTGAAGAAGATCTGAAACAAGTCTCCATTTTAGAAAATATTAATACAAATAAAAAAGATAAAAAAGATGAACGAAGGAGGAAAGCAACAGGTAAATACATTATTAAAAAAGGAGATTCACAGATGAGTTTTTTACTTGTTGCAGTGAACTCTGTGTTAGGCCCTTTAAAATGCCTTTTATTTGGTCAGTTCACCTTTAACTGCAAATATTAACCAAATGTTTTGCTGATGAATTAAATTTTGATTATAAAAATGGAAATATTGGTGATTACTTATTCTGTGTTTTATTTGTGAGAGCTAAGTGAATTTTACGCTTGGCCCATCTGCCGCTGTTCTCCCCTTGCCCTCTGTGTTCCAGTCCCATAGTCAGTAGCCTTTTTTTTTCCCTCAGAGTTGGCAAGTCTGTGTTTACCTCATGACCTTTGCACTAGCTCTTCTTTCTACCTGAACTTCAAGGAACTGGTTCCTTTTTGTCGTTTAGAGATCAACTTTAAATGTCGGTTCCTCAGAGAGGCCTCCCTAGTCTCCCAGAATAGTAGGCACAGTCACTCTCTGTCATATTGTCTTGACATTTTTTCCATCACTTTTATCACTGTGATGTGTTTTATTATATGGGAAGCTTGTCCATCTCATTTTGTTATTGTTGTTGTTGTTTCCCTGGTATTTAGAACCTTCATTGATGTATTTTAGGTGCTCTATAAATACTTATCAAATAAATGAATTTTCCAAGGAAATACTACTTTTTTAAATTTAGAGTCACTGGAAATTATTCTAGGTGGTACTGGTATACTAGTAACTTGCATTTGGAACTAACATGTATTTTCTATAATTTTTATAGTAGGAACAATTTTTATTTGCTATGGGAATTCATTCCTGTTTCTTTGAGATCACTTTCTTTCCTCTTAAAAGCCCATTTTCTGTAGTCTTTCAGTAATGATATTTTGAAATTTCTCTCTATTCTAAGAAAACTATATAGTAAACTACTTCAGTAAATCATAGCAGTATTCACAGTCATGGATATTTTATCATAACATTTGAAGATATAGTTATAAATTCACCTTAATTAGTTACACTTATGTCAGTATAAGTAGTCTATTTTATTTCTTCTGATCCAGGATTATTTGGTACTTTGTCTCAGTGGTAGTACTATTGCGTTGTCATAGTTGATAACTAATGCATGGAATAATGCCAGACATGAACATCTTCCCCATAAGAAACTTATTACCAAGTGTAATAAAAAGCATATTCACTTTGGACTTGTTCTTTTAAAAATTGTATTTTTCTATCATAAAAGTAAGGAAAAATAAATTAGAACCTATAATTAAGTGATATGATAAAATTTAAGGTAATTTTACTTAGAATTTAAAAAATCTTTAGTTCATATAAATTATATTAAAAATGAATTTTTATGAACCAATATATTTTCAATATTTAACTCCCTATTATAGAAGTATTCTTTTTTGTAGAATAGATATTTTAAATGTAAGTATCTAATAGAGAAATACTTCAAATAACATTTTTCACTTCTATTTACCATGTTTTAGTTTCATATTTTTGGGTTTTTTAGTTTTGATTTAACCAGTAGGTGACTGATATATATTTTTTTCTACTAATCCAATTTAATATTCATGGTCCACATTTTTAGATGCTCTATAATATTTATTGAGCTCCTCTTATGTGTCAAGCATTGCTTTAACCCCAAGTATCAGAATATTAGTTAGACATGTTTCCTGCCCTCAAAAAGTTTATTATTTTGTTAAGTGGTGGAAGAAGAATCAGGATATTGCCTGTAAATATGGGGAATAATTTTTTACAAGAAGACAAAAACAACGGAAATTTTGTGAAGCATTGTAATAAGGGATATTCATGAGACTATGGTAACTGAAGGGCAAATGGGGGTACACTTCTTTTGGGGAAGATAGAAGATGAGGTAAATGAATGGGTTTGGCCAAGAAAAAGTGAGACAAAGCTACAGAAAAGATGCGTCATTGGAGAAGGGGAAAGAGACTGCATTTAGAGCACATAGGCTGTCTGAGTGAGTTGTTCAAATTCAAGAGATTGCGTATTTTAGTTATCAAATTATGCAACCTCTGTTTTAATAAGGAAACTTTGACATTAAAAGTAGCTAAAATTTAGTATTTGGCTTTTTTCTTCTGTAAAGTTAAATATGACAATGTAGTGTCATTATTTTCTAAAAATGGTAATAAGTTAGGTCATACTAACTAATGTCATTTTCTACCAGAGGGCAGTGGAAGTGTGAGAGGAGGAGGTGGTGGCAATGCCAGAGAGTACAAAATTAAGAAAATCAAGAAGAAAGGAAGAAAAGATGAGGATAGTGATGATGAGTCATCTCATACTGGTTTGTAGAATTATTTTATTCTTCTTTGTAAATACATGGTATTTTTTCTTTAACATTTTCTTAAGATGCACGCAGTTAGATGCATATGCTTATACAGGAAGTCCTTGCTTTGCACAGTTTCAGTGGGCATGAATTTCAGTTACCACAATTTAATTAAATGACGTTAGTCCCCAACAACAAGGTTCGTATTTCAGTGACCAAGGTGTGTTAACTTTGGGTAAATGCATAAAGTACTAACTTTGCTGCTAGCTCCTGAGCCCACAAATCAGCACAGAATAGTAGACCTGCACCATGATCTATGACAATCACATCACTTATTTCAGTTTGTCAGATTGATCACTGTGCATCTCTTGTTCACTTTATACACAGACAAAGCATGTAGTTGTGTTGCCTCATTGTTTCCCAGTGATAAATCCCTGTGACATTTTACAAAAATGGATAACCAAAAGAGGGAATTGGCCGTCAAAGTTGAAAGTGCAGCAAATAAATAAAACGTGATAACAATGTTAATGAAATATGAATCAAGAATAAATGGAGTTATAGAAGAAGTAGTGGGAATGTTGACATTGCTACCACTTAAGGGACTCTAGTTGTACAGCCAGAAGAACTTGGTAAAGGTGCATTTATTGATGCAAATGAGGAAAGTGGCTGTGACAGAAAGGATGAAAAGGTCATTGAGGATGTGAAGGTGGCAAAAAACTTGACATTAAAGGAATTCTCAAAGGTGTTTCGCAATGTTAAAGGGGCAAGGAATAAAATGTTGTAGAGTTAAAAATGGAGTAGGACGACTTGCCAAAGCATAGAACGGATACTTGCCTTGTGTTGTACATTACAGGGTAAGAAGTAGGCAAGCACAGTTCAAACTATTCTTGATTAGTTTTTTACAAAGAAATAAAACACTTCCATTCTCAATGTTTGTGATGAGCTAAATTATAGTGTACTAAATTATAAGTATGTTCTATTTTTCATTTCCCTGTCCATTTGTAACCACCAGTAAGAGCTTTTAATGTTTTCACAAATATTTTTAAAAGGTGATAGATCTGGCTGGCGTAGCTTAGTGGATTGAGGGCGGGCTACAAACCAAAGCATCGCAGGTTCGATTCCCAGTCAGGGTACATGCCTGGGTTGCGGGCCACGTTCCCAGTGGGGGCCATGTGAGAGGCAACCACACATTGATGTTTCTCTCTCTCTCTCCCTCCCTTCCCCTCTCTAAAAATAAATAAATAAAATCTTAAAAAAAAAACCTTAAAAAAAAGTTGTTGCCTTTATAAAAAAAAAGGTGATAGAAAAATTGTAAACTTTCCCATTGTTTATAAAGAAGACTTTGCAGAGTTTCAACTTGCAGAGTCATTATTATATCCCACTGCTTTGTAAAACAAGTTATAATATTTTAAGAAAATTGTATTTTTGCAAATTGAAGTGGAAAACATTAATTTTATACACATTTAATTTTTATGATAACACTTAATTGGTTAGTTGCTTCTATCTAAGGAGGACACTTAAGTATATGCATCTTTCTTTTTCTGTACGTGTTAGTGTTTGTTGTTTTAAGTTAGCAAGAGACATCTTTATTTTTCTAAATAAAATTAGGATACTTTGTTTTAATAAAATAAAGTATGATACCTCCCACCTCCTTTTCCCCAACAAAAAGAGAAAAAATTGAAATAATGATAATTTGAGACATTTACTGTACTTCTTCCATGGATTTCATGATGTAGAGGCCAGAGCTGAGAGATGTAGATATGAAGTGACACAACTTCAGCTATTAATGTGCCACTACTTGTGATAACACAGTGGCTTAATATCAGTCTTTAAAGTATTCTAAGATAGGTAAAAATAGCCACTGTTCTTGTCGTGCATAAAACAGTATTACTTAAAGGAAATCATAGAAACTACTAGCTCTACCCCTGTTTTTTTAAGATTTTATTTATTTTTAGGCAGAGGGGAAGGGAGGAAGATAGAGACATCAATGTGTGGTTGCCTCTCACATGCCCCCTACTAGGGACCCAGCCCACAACCCAGGCATGTGCCCTGATCTGGGAATCAAACTTGCGACCCTTTGGTCCACAGGCCAGCGCCCAATCCAGTGAGCCACACCAGCTAGGGCTCTACCCTTATTTTAAATACTGTACGACTGCCCTATGTGGGTTTTAACTTTTCATTGATAAATTGATTGCCCCACTCCCCAGATGCAGTAGGAGTAGGAGTGAAGGTACATATTAGAAAAAAATTTCTCAGAGCTCTCCAAGATGGTGGCCTAGGTAAACATTCTATACCTCCTTGCTCAACCACTTCAAAGCTACAGCTGAACTATAGAACAACCGTGCAACTCAGAACAGTCAGAAATCAAGCTGAATGGAAATTCTACAACTTCAGAATTAAAGAAGAAACCACATCCATCCAGACTGGTAGTAGAGGCAGAGATGCAGAGACATGGAACAGCCTGGTCCCACAACCACGACCACGTGTGGTAGATAAAAATCAGGAGGGATATCTCAGAAATGATGGGTCCCAGCCCCGTACCAGGAGCCCCAGCCCAGAGTTCCAATGCCAAGAAGAGAAGTCCCCCTAACTTCTGGCTGTAAAAACTAGTGGGGATTGAGTTGGTAGAAGAAACTTTTAGATTCCCAAGCAGTACTCCTTAAAGGGCCCTTGCACAGACTTACTTAGACTTACTCCTGAGCTCTAGCATTGAGGCAGCAGCTTGAAAGATGCCAGTGACATATAGGGAGGAACTGAAGTGTCTGGCATCACGGTGAGAGCTGGAGTGCAGCTTCATCTTAAACAGAACTGCTGGCAGGAACCATTGTTTCTTTTCTGAGCACTCCACCCACAGAGCCATAGATCAGCAAACACCGTATTTGAGACTTCATCAACCTGGCTCACACTGTTTGCCCCACTCTGTTGATTTCCTGAGGCTCTGACCCACCCAATTTATGGGCCCACCTGTTAATAATAGTGACTTTTCCATAGGAATGGCTTGTCTTCACTCATGCTTCAGATTTTCCTAAATCCTCTCAAATAAGCAGCAGCTGGCTTCAACAGCACCATATCTTTTGCTAAGTGGCCCCAGGCCCTGCACTAGCAGCAGCTGGCCTTGGTTCACAGCCTGGCTACACTTGGGCCCCCCCAAGTCCAGTACAGGTAGCAGCCATCTGTAGATAGCATTATAGCTTATGCCAAGTGGCCCCAGATAGAACACAGGCAGTGGCTGGCCTTGGCCTATTCCTCCCAGGAAACCCTAGAGCCTGTGCACTCAGTGAACAGCTACAGATCATGTCATAGCACTACTACCCAGTCACCTGGGTCACTACTACCCAGTCACCACAAGCAACACACTCAAGAGGAAGACTCAGTGGGCACCAGAGCCCTGCTGAAGTAAGTCCTGCTCTGTAGAGTGCACCCTGGCACAGCTGATCCTCCACTAGAGCAGAGATTGGTGGTCAGTGGTCACAGCCAGTCTTGCAGGTGACTGGCCTGGGTAAATACATCCCATTGACCTGTGAAAAGTAATAAAAACTCAACTACAAGAGGAGGGTGTACTCAGCCCATACGAATGGTGCACCTTGAGTATGCCCAGCTTGGGTGATAGGGGAGGCTATGCCACTGGACCCTGCGGGATACCTGCTACATCAGGCCACACTACCAAGACATGGAGTCATAGCAGCTCTACCCAATACATAAAAACAAACACAGGAGACAGCCAAAATGAGACAAAGAAACAAGGCCCAAATGAAAGAACAGATCAAAACTCCACAAAAAGAACTAAACAAAATGGAGATAAGCAATCAATCAGATGGCGGAGATCCAAGCACTTGTTATAAGGATGCTCAAGGAACTTAGTGAGGACCTCAACAGCATAAAGAAGATCCAGTCAGAAAAGAAGGATGTACTAATTGAAAAGACAGTTTACGGGGAATCAACAGTAGAGTGGACAAAGCCAGAATCATATCAAATGATTTGGAATAAGAAAGCAAAAAACAACCAATTGGAACAGCAAGAAGAAAAAAAAATTTTTTAAAAAATGAGGATAGTGTAAGGAGCCTCTGGGATAATTTCAAGCATATCAACATTTACATCATAGGGGTGCTGGAGGAAGAAATTGGAAGCCTATTTGAAAAAATAATGAAGGCAGAATTCTCTAATTTGGTGAAAGAAATAGGCATACAAGTCCAGGAAGCACAGAGTGTCCCAACAAGATGGATGCAAAGAGGCCCGTTCTAAGACACATCATAATTAAAATGCCAAAGGTTTAAGATAAAGAGAGAATCTTAAAGCAGCAAGAAAAAAGCAGTTAGCTACAACAGAGTTCCCATAATACTATCAATTTTTCCAAAGAAACTTGGCAGGCTAGAAGGGAATGGTAAGAAATGTTCAAAATGATGAAAAGCGGGGACCTATAGCCAAGATTACCCAGCAAAGCTATCATTTAGAATTGAAGGGCAGTTAAAGGGCTTCCCAGACAAGAAAAGACTAAAGGAGTTCATCATCACCAAACCGTGATTATATGAAATGTTAAAGGGACCTACTTAAGAAAAAGAAGATAAACTATAAACAGTAAAATGGCAAAAATAAATATTTATTAACAATTGAATCTAAAAAACTAAGCAAACAAGCAGAAAAGAAATAGAAGCATAGATACAGAGAACCCTTTGATGATTGCTAGAGGGAAGGGCAATACAGGGGAATGGGTGAAGAGAAGAGGGGATTAAGAAGTACAAATAGGTAGTTACAGAATAGCCATGGAGATGTAAAGTATGGTATAGGAAATAGAGTAGCCAAAGAACTTACACACAGGACTCATGGACATGAACAATGGTGTGGAGATTACCTGAGGGAGTGGGGGATGCTGGGTAGAAGGGGTAAAGAAGGAAAAATTGGGACAATTGTAATATCATCATCAATAAAATATAATTAAATATATAAAAAATTAAATTCCTTAAAGGAAAAAAGAAAAACCGATTATCTGCAACCTTAAGTAATTATTAAATGGGGCATGTGTTACTCCTTTAGGACATAGATTATGGAGAGGGGCTGAAAAAGTATAGCTAAACCATTCTACCTAAAAGTAATGTAATTTCATTGCTTTTGAAATATGGTTGTGTTGTAATCTCTGAAATCAGGTTGTAATTAGGTTCTCAGCTAATATATATAGGGTTAACTCAATATGAAAGATCACTAGAAGGAAATACAATTTAATAACTTCAAATGCCTGCAAGAAGCAAAGAAATTAGTAATTATTTGGTGTGAAACAAGAATGAATAGCAGATCTCAAAAAGAAAGGATGGTACTCATTTATTTGAAAGCTGTAATCTCAACTACTTATATTTTGATGCATAGTGAAAATTGACTTTTGAGCTATATTATTTTTATTTCTGAGGTTTCAATTTTAGAGTCATTGACTTAGCTGCAAATAATCACTTTTATATTTTTATAATAAGAGAAATATTTTTAGCTTTCTTTATCTGTAGTCTATACTTTTCTAAGTGAGTAGGCATGACATTTCCACAATTAACAATTATTTCCATTATAGTAGCTACATACAAATTTCCTTGGAATTATTTTTGTGACAGCAAAAATAAATTATGGGTATAAGATTATGAGATTTCTTTTAATTCTATGCCTTTACAAAAAGATAATTTTTAGCTTAATTCTAATTCACTTGTGGTTTGCATGATTATAAAGAGTATTCCTGAAGATCTTAGGTAAATTACAAGGATGACTTGATTTTTAGTAATACTCATTTTTATAAAGAAGGAAATTCTGCTCAGTATCCATCATTGTTCAACAAAGAGAATTTATTGATTCCCATCCATGTTAGATCAGGGAAAATTATCTTTAGTATTTTCTGATTGACATGTAGAGAATAGTCATTAAATAAAGTTAGAAAAATATAACTCAAAAAATGCCACTATATATCCTTTTTTAAAGTGTATTTTTGTAAGTTATTATTATTCTATATGGATAATTTTGGTGACAAAAAATTAATATCAGAGTCTTTGTGGTAGGCAGTAAATGAATTACCACCTTATTAAATATGTTCATGTAAAATAATTTTCTTTATGTTGCTCATTTGTTTTGTTGGTTTTTTTTCCTCATTGTTCATTACTATTACAGGAAAAAAGAAGCCAGAGATCACTTTTATGTTCCAGGATGAGATTGAAGATTTTCTAAGAAAACGTGTACAAGATGCCCCTGAGGAGTTTATTTCTGAACTTTCTGAGTACTTAATAAAGCAAGTATAAAAACATTTTTTTTCTGGTTGATGATAGAAATTCAGTGAGTTACTAAATAGAATTTTCACCAAGATGATAAAAAACATATTTTAGGTGTTTTGGGGCTTTTTCAAAACTTAGAATTTAATCTAGTCACCAAATTCCAGACTCTGTTTGCATAGGGAAGCATTTCAACAAACATTTAAATGCTCTGGGCAAGGCTGTGTGGGAAATAAAAGGCAAAAGTGTGGAGGCATCCTTGTTCACTTGTCTTACAGTCCTAGGTGGGAGAAAGCCGCCAGCACTAGTCACTGGCCTGTGTCTCCCATAGCATGAAAGTAACATCTGAAAAAGAGAAAGGATCGTTTTCTATCTAGATTTGGCAGAAAGTGCACAGTACACTTTTAGGGAGAAAATCAAGTAGTAAACTGCCTTCAAAGAGAATAAATTTAGCACTAATTTAAAATGAGTCAAGCTAAATTTATTTTTATACAGAAGTCACAGAAATTGTGTTTTACTTGACCATTATTACTAACTAATGTAGTCTTTTCTCAAATTAGTAGTCCCATTGGGTAAGTGCATCTAACTTTGAATTTAGAAATGTAGCTTTTCTAGTGAAGTTTTTAAAAATTAAGTGAATATATTTTTATTCCTGAATTCATTACATAGTCATATTTCTATATGTAAAAAGCTGAAATAGTTACTAATTATTTGTCATTATTTCTTTAAATAATCTTTTCTGAGTTGAACATAAAAAGGTTTTTTTAATACATTATGTTTTATCGTACTTTATAAATGGAAAATGGGGAACAGATTTAGAGTCTACTATTCTCCAAATTAACTTTGAAAAACTTCTCTGAATTTAATTTGAATTGAAGCTTTTGAATTGAATTACCTTTTTTTGTCTTTAGCACAATAATTGAGTACTTTAAAATTGAGAAAAATAATTTATTTAAGTTATAACTTCTGGAATGAAGGACAGATTCTTGTGACCTGTTCTCCAAATTGCTCTTATTTTAAAAAATAGAAATGTCTTCATAAACCTTATATCCATGGAATCAGAATTTTGTATCTGTGTAAACTGAGTACATTTTAATAAACTAAACATGTTTATTTTGTTCACAGACCTCTTAATAAAATTTACCTCGAGGTAGTGCGTTCAGTATTCGTGTCTTCAACAACTTCAGCCTCTGGAACTGGCAGAAAGCGCACAATCAAGGACTTGCAAGAAGAGGTTTCAAATCTGTACAATAATATTAGATTATTTGAAAAAGGGATCAAGTTCTTCACAGGTATACTTAATACTTTTTTTTCATTCATTGATTCTCATAATTTTTCTTGGACATTCACTTTAATAAAGCACCGTTATTTTTCAGATGATACACAGACTGCTCTTACCAAACACTTGCTAAAGACAGTCTGTACCGACGTCACTAATCTCATTTTCAACTTCTTAGCTTCGGATTTAATGATGGCGGTCGACGACCCTGCAGCCATTACAAGTGAAGTATGTTCATGCTTTCCTTGCCAGTAATGATGTGTTTCATTGTAAAATCAGAGCATATTTTATTTACTCATATCTGAAATAGTCTAGAAGGAAAATAGAAGGAAGAGAAAAGATTTTAGGAAACAAATGGATAAGATTTTTAGGTCACGTTTAGTACAGTGTATATTCAGTTGCTAGCAGTATTGGTCATATAACCAGTCTATGAAAAGTAATGATGCTTAATTACTTGGGAACCAGCAGTTTTATTTTTTCCTAATTATTGGTAGGTCACATCCTTTCTTCCTGCTGAGTTGCAAGCCCCGTAATGTTTGTGCCGGGTTCCATAACTTTGCATCATCTTCATTAAGTCACACCATCTCATTTCAATATTTACACTAATTCTGAAGAGAATTAGAGTCTCTAAAAAGAACACTTGTGCTTGGTTCCCCCCGTAACCCTCCCCCTCCCTCTCATCTTCCTCTTGTACTGCTGGCAGATGGGGGAGTAGGGCTGTGTCTGTCCTCTTTGCTGACTGGCGATTGACTAGTTCTCTGATTTTAGAATGTTTTCAGCATAGTATTGTCCCTTGTTTGAGATATAAAATTCAAGAACAAATATAAATTCCATTCAACATTCTGTTATAGTAATAAATATACTTTTTCCATTTTGTTTGATCTTATATCTAACATCTGTCAAAATCATAATACCTAAAGAATTTTTCCCCCATAGGTAAGAAAAAAAATTTTAAGTAAATTATCAGAAGAAACTAAAGTAGTTCTTACAAAACTCCATACTTCCTTGAATGAAAAGGTAAGTAAAGTTTGATTTTATTTAGATATATTGGAGCTAGAATTTGTGACCTTTGAGTAGATTTTTATCAGAATAATTTTAAACTAAGACTAAAACTAGTATTCTGCCCTTAGCTACCTTTTTGGGAAGTGAAGGAGGAGACCAAGTTGGGGGCAGTTTACCCTCTTTAAAGTCCTAAATCACAATTTCAAATTCAATGACAAAATAACCTTGTTTAAAAATTGATATCAGATATCTAGGGTATAAAATTATAGAACAGTATCGATGGTTGTGTTTTCTTTAGGCAACCTGTTTATAAAAATTAATCATGGTATTAAATACCTTTTCAGAGCATAGAAGACTTTCTTTCCTGCCTGGATTCTGCAGCAGAAACTTGCGATATTATGGTGAAAAGGGGAGACAAAAAAAGGGAAAGGTAACACTGAATTAACTTGTATTACTAATGAGTTCTTAGATGTGTTATATCTGAAATTGGAACTTGACCATCTGAATCTTACCTAGAGAACTGATGTGTCTAAATAATTGTACACCTTCGAGCATATTCAGTCTTAATATACTTCAGTGTCCTTCTCTGACCCACCTTGACAAGGTAGCAGAGTTCCTTAATCTCATAGTTGATCAGGTCTGGGAACTTTTTATTAGCTGTGAGACCTTTACAGGAAACCTATTTAAATGAATGCTCTTCTGTTTGATCCCCTACAACTCAAAATAAAGAGAGTACTTTGAGTATTCCTGCTATATTGTTTTTTTTTCCTCTCACTTTCTAGTATATTCGTTTATCCATGCCAATTAGGGTTATGTCTATCTATACCCCATATCTAAAAAGGTCCCTTAAAATTATTATGGAACTAGATAACCAAACTAGAGAAATTAAAAATGAAAACAGAAGGGAAGAACTGAAATTGTTGAGAATTTGTGTGTTTTTGTTTAGGCAGATCCTGTTCCAGCATCGACAGGCACTGGCTGAGCAGCTGAAAGTCACAGAGGACCCTGCTCTCATTCTGCACCTCACATCAGTCCTGTTGTTCCAGTTCTCTACCCACAGCATGCTCCATGCCCCTGGAAGATGTGTCCCACAGATCATTGCTTTCCTTAATAGTAAAATTCCAGAGGTATTGCATTTTCAACGCACTTGAAACTTTTAAAGCATTAGATTCCAAATATTTTAAGTGGATAGATGTGAATCATGGACACCAAGACATAACAACATCATCTTTGTTCCCGCAAATGTGAACAGAAAATTAGGAGATTGATTTTAAAAACTTGGTATAGCTCAAGAATCTTTTAGGATCCTATCAGATCCATGGTGGAGAATATTCTGAATTTGAAAATTAAACTTTTGGAAAAGATATAATAATGTCCAGTCTTTCATTTCAGCTTATTCAGGTTTAACCTGTCCTTCAAGGATCCCTTAAAAAGTCTTATCATGCATAAATTCTTCTGAGTAATGCCTCCACTACAAGTAAGTGTGGATTCTTTGAACCGCCATATCACTTTGAGTATATTGTTGGTGATGGAACCTAGCTAAATTGACTACTAAAATAATCTGTATTCCTGTTTTGTCTCTCCTAAAATGTAAACTCCTTGAAAGCAAGGACCTTGCTACATTCAGTTTTCTACTTACATGGCCAGTGATTGGTAAAGTGAAGACCTGCAGTGTATGTTGGTTGAACAAATACTACTTTGTTCCACAAAACTTAAGTCATGTTTGTTAACTTTGCTTCTCCTTTCTCTTTTCACAGGATCAGCATACTCTTTTGGTGAAGTATCAAGGACTGGTTGTAAAGCACTTAGTTAACCAAAATAAGAAGACTGGGCAGGAAGATGACTCCTTGAGTGATGAATTAGACAAAGAACAAGAAGATATCACCACTACTACTCGTAAAGAGCTCCAAGAACTTTCTCTATCCATTAAAGACCTTGTTCTCAAATCCAGAAAATCATCTGTGACAGAAGAATAATGATCTTAATTACTTTTGCCAGGTACTAAGCATCTTTCCCCCAAATTACTAATGAGTAGTTATAAAACATATTTACTCCAGTCCCCAGAATGTTTATAAATTGAGTTCTCCACGGAATATTTTCCATGGAGGTCCCCATGGAAGATTTCTTTTAGATAATTATAATTCTAAAAATTATACATTTCATGTTTATTTTCTTTCCATATACATACTGAATGAAAAATAAATTTTCTGCTGTCTTTCATTTCTAGGAAAGGGTTCATTTGTTGTGTTATTATATTTCAAGTGACATATTAATCAGAAACTTAAAATGTGGTCATGTTCTTTAAGAAAAATCTCCCTTTGGTATCAAAATGAAAATTGTGTATTTTATTTTAAAATTAATAGAGAATGCTTCAAACCTAACATACAGAAATTTGCAAAATATATTTTTTGTTGCTAAGCCATTTCTGGCAGATAGGTGGTTGGAGTCCTCAGGGGAGGCCATTACAGGTGCAGAAGAACACCTGCGGGGCGTGCATTGTTGTGCTTTATTCTAAAATAAGATGCTAACAAGAGTAAGAGAAAAAATAAAACTTACTGTTTATAGGCATGTCATATTTTACCAATGGAAAAACTAAAAATTTTATGCAAATACTTTTCTTTAACCCAGTCTGCATTCCTAAATATAATTTATTCAATCAGTCACGCTAGCACCTCATTTACTTTGTTGTGAGGGGATTTATAAGTGCTTTTAAATCACTGCAACCTTTTTTTATTTTTCAAAAATCAACACCCTTACTTAAAAAATAGGTATTCTTTTTTTCTAAAGATTAGTAGTAGTTAAAACTATAATTAAATTAATTGAACTAATTAAAACTTAAATAGTCCCTTGAAATAATCATTTCAACCTACTTAGTTTTGAGCAACAGTTTATTATATATCAAAAGAAATTTATTTTGAATATGATAGTAAATTAAATCTCAAATATTAAAAAATACTATTTTATATCATTCCTTCTGTGGTATTTAAAACTCTGTTTTAAAATGTTTGAATATAAAAATCAGTCTACCTACCTCTATTATAATTCTAGACAGAGTATTAATACTGAGTAAATGGAATTATATAATTGCAGGCAAATTATTATTATTAAAGTTGATAAGAATGTAACAAATTTTAAAATGTTTTTATTGGCTATTTTTTATTAATATATTTTCTTTATATGCACAAAGGAGGAAAAATGACAACTATTCTGACCACAAATTCCAATTAGTTTTATGTACTTATTCAGCTTTCAAAATATTGAATACCCAACATAATTTTTTATTCAGTCTTTGCTTAAGAATTTTATCATTTGTATCAGCCATGGCCAGTGTGGCTCAGTTGGTTGGAATGTCGTCTCATAACTGAACGGTTGCTGGTTTGATTCTCAGTCAATGCACATGCCTGGATTATGGACTTGATCCCTGTCTGGGCGCATACAGGAGGCAATCTATCGATGTTTCTATCTCTCTTCCTCTCTCTCTCCCTCTCTCTCTAAAAAATAATGGAAAAATGTCCTCATGAGGATTAAAAAAAAAGTATTGCTTATTTCAGAAGATACCAAAGTAATCTTTGTTTTTGTTAAACTAGGTGATAGTTTGTGAAAATAAAAGAGATGATGAAGCAAATAAAAAAATTCTTATTTTGTTTGCATTAAATATTTTTATTTATCAAAATAGTTCTTATTTTCCATAGTAAATAAGAACAGTTTTTATTGTTTTTGTAAGTAAAATTATATGGCTGATTTTTATTATGTAAAAATCTAATTTGTTAATAAAATAAAAATTGTTCAGTGTTTACCTACTGCGATCTTCATGGGCAAATTTAAGAATGCTGTTTAAAATAAAGTTGCCTATTGTTTCCATTAAATATTATGGTACTTTGAAGCATCCATTATTTTAATTATTACTAGGTAGTTAATGCATGTATTATATACATTTACATTTTTAACTCTTATTCTGAACATTTTTCAAGTATTTTACTCTATTGTTCTTACACAAAAATAGTCTCATTGTCCTCAGTATCCTTCCCTCCTTGAAAATTTGCCATTCATCAGCCATTTCACTTTAGCAAACCTTTTCATTTAGCTAGATTTCAGCAAATGTGCATTTATACTCTTATCTTCTATTTGAATATATTTGAATAACATGTTCAGGCATTCATGTTCATTTGTTCCACCTCTAGACCTGTATTTTTGAAGGATCGAGGGAAACTCATTTTTGGCCATCAGAAAGACTCAGTGAAGAGTGACATAGCTTATCAAAATCAGTGTATTTTTAGAAAAGATCGTAATGCTAAATTAAAACAATAAATGTAGAAGTTGCTTAACCTGAAGTTAGAATCATCTTGAACCCTTTAGGGAATGTGCTTTATTCAGACCATAAAGCACCAAGGTTGAGGTTAAGAACAAAAAGCATCTGAGGTAAAGTGCCGCCTGTAGATGGAGAAGAAAGAGTTCACTCCTTCCTCAGAAATGCCACTGGACCCAGAGCCAAGTGGGATTGTGTCTATCAAGAACTAGTTTATGTGAGTTGGGTAGAAGTTTGGGGCAATGGGAGGTTTGCTTTCTTTGACCAATGTCTATGATGTTTTTACCCCAGTGTATAGGGAAATGACAAGAACACATGTATAAACTCTGGAATGGCCATTTCCACAGAAATCTGGGAACACTATTAAAGTGGCCTAGGATTCACACAAATTGCTGTACCTTGAAGACCACCCTAAGCAAACAAAACAACTTATAGAAGCCAGGAGAGACTTCATCCAAACCATTTAAGAAAGAATCCTTGACTTTAGTTTTCAGAATCACAGTGTTTTCCATTTACATAAAAAAAAAGGAATGACTAAACATGTATTAAACTTTTGTAAGTTCTGTCTAGTGTTGTGTTTTACTATTTGTTTTACCAGGCTTGCCTCTATTCGACCTGTATTGATTCAGCAATGATTAGCAGTAAATTTACCCAGATCTATATCTGAAGAGCAGGACGGAAGAGATTATGTTGTGGTGTGATGGAACAATGGGAGGACTGGGTGAATTTAAACCCTTGACTCAATACTCTCCCAAATCCTGTATGACAGCTAAGCACCAGAAATACTAATGTATATCTTAAAAATTTGCTTTGCTTTCAAAGAGATGGCAAGATTCAAAAATTAAAGTTCCGTTTACAATAGCCAAGTGCTGGAAGCAACCTAAGTGCCCATCAGTAAATGAATGGATCAAAATACTGTGGTACATTTACGCAATGGAATACTACACAGCAGAGAGAAAGAAGGAGCTCCTACCCTTTGCGACTGCATGGATGGAACTGGAAAGCATTATGCCAAGTGAAATAAGGCAGATGATGAAAGAAAAATACCATAGGCTGTCACCTATAAATGGAACCTAATCAACAAAACATACAATCAGGCAAAATATAACCAGAGACGTTGAAATTAAGAACAAACTGACAGTAACCAGAGGGAAGGTGGGGGAGCATACCAGGGAGTAAAGGGGGAAGGGTTTTCCAGCATCTATAAAGGACACATGGACAAAACCAAAGGGGGTAGGGGTAGGATCAAGGGTGGGAAGCAGGGATGGCTAGGGTTGGGGGGAGTGGGTGGTGGGTAAAATGGAGAAAACTAAACTTGAACAGCAATTAAAAAAATTAAAAGTTCAATATATGTGTAGTGTTTTTAGGTAAGTAATCAGAGGATGGTATGGGAGAAGAAATGAAAGTCAAACTGTCTCACACAGCAGGAAAAGGAACAGCCTGGACATGACCTGAACCGACTCCTGAAGGACAAGTAGGATTAGCCTGGTGGAATGGGGAAACAGGCAGCAGATATTTCTGTGCTGAGAAAAGGAGATTCAGAAGTACTAGGACATGCATTGATATAAAATGAGGCATTTGAGAAACCCTAAAAGTATGAGAAATAAATGGTCTGGGAAGTGGGGTAAAAAGCTAGAGAAACCAGAGGAAGAGGACCATGAAATGACTTACACACTAAGCTGAAAAGTTTAACCATTATCCTGAAAACAAGGGAACCTTTAAAAGATTCAATGAACCAGGGAAATAAGGTGATTTTATTTGTCTTTTAGAAAGATCACCCAATCTAGGAGGCAGTTTGATGATTAAACAAAATATTTAAAATGTATATATTATTTGTGAAATCAATGTCTCCTCTATCTGATAAGTAAAATTTGGAGTTAAAAATGTATACAGGTCTTGCCCTGGCCACTTTGCTCAATTGTTGCAGCATTGTCCTGTACACCAAAATGTTACAGGTTCTATTCCCAGTCAGGGCACCTACAAGAGGCAAACCGTCGATGCTTCTCACATTGATGTTTCTCTCTCCCTTCTCACTCTGTCTCAGATATATAATATACTTTGGATGAGGATTTTAAAAATGTGTACCAGTCTTTTCCCCCACCTCTACTAGAACAGAAACATGGGCAAATGTGTAATCTCGCACAGAAAGAAGGCAATCCTCTTGGCTCTCAAATAATTTTGTTTATTCAGATGCTAGTCCACCAAGAAAATCTGACTAATCAAGCTAAGAAAAAAGTTTCCAAAAGTTTTATGTTTCTTGTTACTGTAAAAAAGGAAAAGCACTTTTTTTTTCAAAGATTTTATTTATTTATTTTTAGAGAGGGAAGGGAGGGAGAGAGAGAGAGAGAGAAATACCAATGTGCGGTTGCTGGGGGTTATGGCCTGCAACCCAGGCATGTACCCTGGCTGGGAATCAAACCTGGGACACTTTGGTTCCCAGTCCGCACTCAATCCACTGAGCTACGCTAGCCAGGGCTAGGAAAAGCACTTTATAAAATTATTTTCCTACTGAGGTTGTCATTCTGTACCTAATATGTAGCATTTAACCTACTGTTATATATAGACTTACAAGTTGGATAATTGCTTGAAGGCAGAATGTATAATTGTTCAGTATTTTTAATAAATGTAAATAAAGTGAGTGTTCTATATTTTTCTTTTCCCCTTTCTCACCTAAATTTAAGTTCTTGTCATCCGTACATTATAAATGTTCAGGGCAACTTTTGGACTTGAAGAAAACAAATCTAAAAGAGAGAAAAATAGGGAGCACTGATCCATAATGTATTTCATTTTATTGATACCATTATTCACAGCCACTTCAAAAATATTTAAGATTTGGAAAATCACAGTTTTTTAAGTAAAAAGGAACAGAGTTGTATACAGTGTAGTCTTGGTTTCCTAATTAAATATGTAAGTATAAAATTTGCATAGGACCATTTACATAAACATTTTCTTGAACAGTTACACCCATGCATATGTGATGTTCTAAAGAGATGTGGGTAAAGATTTGGGCTGTGGCTGTTTCTCGAATGCAAGTCATTTGATTTTTTTTCAATTCTTACTCTAGGTTTTCTGCAAGAAGCATGTATTTATAATTTGATAAACATATTTTTAAATAAATACTCTTTTATAGTGATATAGAGAAATGATAGAAGGGGACCAGACTGAGGCAGGTGCCAGACATTTTATGACTGATACAACAATCCAAATCAGAGAGTGAGGACCTGAACACAGGGTGATGACACATCTGAGAGACGCTTAAGTAGGATCAGCAGAGGGCTGGATGAATGATGAGGATGGACGAAGTCGTGAGGAAAGGGGGAAGTCTAAGATGATGGGTTGGGTGATTGTGCCATGGTGGCCAATACAGCAGACTAACAGGTTAGGAGTGGGGAAGAGATAAAGAGATTTATTTGGGACTGAGTTTAAAATGCCTGAGAATATCAAATAACCACCAATAGACAACGACCTATTGGATACTGACCTAGAACCTTCGAGAGTGATAATACAGTTTGAGAGTCATAATACATAATCATTCATTGTTCTCATTCTGCACAGAGAGTGTGTGGAGAAAGTTCTGAACTGAGGATGAGGCTCTGGGGAAGGAGGAGGTGAATAAAGGGAGAGGAGGCTGCGGACCTAGGAGCAAAGAGGAAATCAAAGAGTGTAACTTAGTGAAACCAAGAGAAAAAATTCCAAAAAACTAAACATAGCCAGAGATGAGAAATCTCTGGTAAGGTGAAAAACAGTGCTCTTTTGGATGCTAATTAAGATCTTTTATGAGCTTAATGAAGCTTGATGAAGTAGCTCAAGTGGAAGATAGATTGCAATAGGTTGAAGGGGGAAAGAGGAAGATCAGAGTTGAATCAGTGAATGTAGATTACGCTCTCAGGGAGCATAGGTGTAAATAAAGAGGGAATGGACCCATAACTATATGGGGACTTACTCAATTTTTATCTCCAAGACTCTACTTCCTCACTTATGAAAGGAGAAAATGCCCGTGTAGCAGTATTGTGAGGATTAAAAATCTATTACTAACCAAATGCACTCGTGTCCTTTCACTGAATCAGTATGTTGCTGCTAATTGCCATATTTTCATTTTCCTAATATCTTCGTCACCAAAGTAGGTGAATAACGAAACATGGAGTTCTTTGGCTTTGCCTTTTGCTAGCTCTATGTTTTATTGTACACACCTGAGTTTGACCTCAGACAATATTAACATATCATCCCTTTAGCACTTAGAACAGGGACAGTTTCAGTTTGGTCTGGGAGTGAATGGAGTTAAGGCAGAGCATTTCTTTTCTCACCCCACCTTACAAACCAAAGAAATGGCCTCTGATGGAGATTCTAGGAGCAAACACCCGTCGCTTTAGGAATCAGTTTGACCCACGAAGAATTCCTCTGTTGGATTAATTCAATATTCAAACATGTCTTTAAATTCAATTCTTGAAATATCTGGCCACTTTTCAGGTTTTGAGTTGAAGATTTCAAAAAGCCAGATGAGTCTGTCCTTAAGTGAAATCATACAGCCAGAGAGATGACATAACAATCGTTACCCGCTCACAGGGAAATAGGCAGAAGCAGGGAATGCTCAGTCCACACTGCAGGCGCATGGAGCAGGCAACAACCTGGAGTTATTCTAGTCAAGTCCAAGGCTCAAAGTTTCCAGATTTCCCAAGAAGACAGTACTAGAGGCCACAATCAAGGGCTCATCTCAAACTACCAGCCACTGCAGGTGAGAACAGAAAAGCTCTATGGTTCAGCCATTTCTAACCAAAAAGAAGGGTTCTGATAGTCATTGGAAAACAAAACAAACAACAGATTAATCAAAGAAACAGAAAATACATTAGCCTTTTGGAAATTTTTAAAATTTAAATGTGCCCTTAATTTAGCCTCTGCAGTGGGAATTTCTCAAGTGTGTGTGTGCAGTTTGTATTTTAAGCTTTTTGGAGCTGATCCAGGTATTTCAAATACTAATCCTGGAGGGATTGCCCTTTAAGGATGTCCTGCAGGGAATCTGTTACTCATAATTTTAAGTACAAATTGACAGGGAATGCTTTTTCAGCCCAGCAGGAGTCAGCTATGTACACATCACCAGACTTGGAGGAAACCCACTAACCCTCCTATTTTCTTGTACAAAGTTGAAAAAGTGGCAGTTGGGAGGGGCCCTCGGATAACTCTGGTGGCTCACTCTGTCCCTTTGGAGTTGACCTATGAATGCGTTGGAGGGAAAAATCATCACACAGTCTCCTTTTAACTGTTTAAATTACAGGGAGAAGCAGCTTTAAGAAAAAGTAAGTTTTGCTTTATTTTCCTTAATGTTTACTATGTGTTTTTCATGTGGTATTTTGGTTTCTTAATTACAGGAAATTCTTATAGACTTTCTAGTGACTGCATAAGAGAAAACTTATACTGGCAAGATAAGTAGAGATCTTGAAATTTTCTTTTTCTTTGAAATTTTCTTTGAAACTTTTTAAAAGTCAGTTGAGTCAACAGTTATCAAACTTTATATGCTGAGACTTCAGATTTTCATTGTGATGACATGTATGTGGAAGCAACATAGTGTCCAGATAACTCTTTGGAGCTGCCTCTTGAGTTCTGCAAATGGTCTTTATTCATGGGGGCACAGCTGCATTGTCATAAAGGGTGGCGGGATTCTGGGGTTCCATTTGACTTAATTTGTTTGAATGACTAGCTAACCACTGAGGGTGTTTTATGGCTGGATTTATAGATCCAAAGCACAATTTGAAGTCATTTATGTATTTTAAATGAGATTCTGGCTATTTTCAAGAAAAATTTACCTACTTTTCAGAAGCAGGTATAGAATATAATCCTAATCTTAGGTGTTCTGAGATTACATTTAAACGTCTCTGCGTGTCTGGCCCACACAGATATATAATGAAACTGTATGTATCTAAAGCATTGCTTTTTGAAACCGAGACAGCATCACTTAAGCAAAAGCATGAATCCCATATGTTTATGCCTTCTCCTCCACTATTTTAGTCAGACCCTCTTTGGTGTCCATCATCCTTTTGAAAACAAAATGCAACTTCTCAGGTGTCAATTTCGGCTTGAGGATTGTGAAAACTAAAAAAAAAAGTACTAATAAAATGTGTAATACTTATAAATAAAGTATAAGAAAACCCTCAAGTCATTTTAGCCATCATTTCACATTCATAATACTTCATGTAGGAATTCTAGCATTTTTATTAAGAAAGTATATGAAATAAAATATAACACAAATATTGCAAACATACATATCATACAAGAGAGTTTTTAACATATTTGTTATGATATATGCCTAAAGCCATAATCCAAATTGCTTGATAGGGAAAGTAGACTCTGATGTCTGTTTTCTACACTTGTTCTATGTATTCCCACATGTTATCATTAGTTGCCAATTCTGGGACTGTTCTGCCTAAACAAGAGCAGTATGTTTGTGTTTTAATGTAATATCACCTCACTGACAAGTTTACCTCTTATTTTTATTCTACTTGCCAACAACATTTTGAGTAAAGCTGGATTAATTTGGGTTTCTTAGACTAGCCTAGTAACTTTCTACTATAATGTTGAAAAGAAATGGTTTTCTAGAACATGGAGAAACCTTGATTTGTTTTTTATGTTTTTAATCTAGGAAACATGATCTCTTTGGCACTGAAAACCAAATACTTGGGTTCACATGGGAAGCTCTGAGTCAGATGTCAGTTAAACAATCTTGCATTTCTGTGTTCTTGTAATTGTCTTTTCCCTGTCGGATTGTCATCATTTTTCTTTGTTACCTTTTGTAACCTTGGAAGGGCTGTGGGAGGAGGAGGGGAAGGGGGAGGAAACTCCTTCCTGCCGTAACATCTTGAATCCCTCCAAAATGATCAGCTTCAGCATTTTTCTTTCTCCATATCTTTGGGGTCACAGACCCCCTTAATCTGATAGAATTACATTCTCTTCTCAGAAAAACAGTCCACTCCAAATAGATATTTCAGTGACATGTCTGTCCTTGAGTATTTTCTGCAGTCCTCATTATGAAACGCTATTCTCCCTGAAGCCGTGGACCTCAGCTTCAGACACATCCTGGGGCCGGTGGGTTCACCAAGACATTAAAAAGCTTCAGGAGGAAGTATGCCCAAACTTTGTCTGTAAACCTTCCTCACCTGAGGACAGGTAATTTAAGCAAGGATTTTAGCTGAAGGTAAAGTTTAAGGTTAATTTTCAAAGCAGCTGCTAACTTTGCAGTCATCCTTGCCTGAGCAGTGTCATGGAAAGAACAGTGGAAGATTTAAGTCGTGGAAGAGCTCCTTCGGTGGAAGCAAGGCTTAGGATGTAGGGGGAGAGAGTATAGCCTCTGAAGAGCCCAGACTGTGGGAAGGATGGTTGCAGTGGCCCTTCCTGTTTCTCCGGCTGTCCCTGTGCCCACCTACTGGTGGACTGGAACACAAAAGGGAAAATCTAAACTATGCCCATTATCTTCTACCCTCCTCTTCAGGATCACAGGCTCTAATCTTTCCTTTTTTCTTGGCTCCTTCCATCAGCATTTAAACATGTTCAAATTTCCCATCCTGAAAATCTTCTTTATTATTGAGCTCCTCCAGTTACCCTCATTTCCCAGCTTCATAGATGGATCTCTTGAAAGCACTATCTACGCTCTCTGAAGAACCTCCACTTCCTCAGCCCACACTCCTCAATCCACAGCCCTCTGGCCCAGTCCTCAGCAGCTTTCTCCAGGGCTCGCTGAGGCTATAATTACTGGTGGACTGCTAAATCCAGCAGACGTTTCTCATTCTCTACTTGCTGTCTCCAAAGCATTCTACCCCATTCTCCACTTTCCCCATCCTGAAACACTATTTACCCAGGATTTCCATGATGTCGAACTCCTGGTTTTCCTTCCACACTCAAGAGCACTATTCTCTGTCTGGCAGATTTCTCTCCTCCTCCCCTACATTCTAGACTCCTTTTCTCTCTCTGGGCAATTTCATTACTTCACTTATCATCTATTCTATGTGCTTATGAATCCATAATATCTCTAGCTAAGATACTTTTCTAAACTACAGACCTGTATATCTAACGGCCTGCTGAGGACAAGACTGCTGAGAGCGGGTTTGGCCCCCCAGTGAATACATTTGGGAAGGGAGGGAGGAACATGAGAGGCAAGCCAAGTAAAAACTGTGACATAGAATTTGCCACGGACCACGTCCAAAATGCCCAAGTAATTTATGTGGTTTCTCTTCCCCATCTCTTTAGCCCCATCTGAACGTCAATATTTGGCTGTCCTGCAGTCTTCTCAAATTGTATCATTTTAATCGAAAAGTAAATTTATTATTTCCCTCTCCTATTCTCCACCCCACTTCCCTCAAATATACTCATGTACAGTGAATGACACAATGATGCAGCCAACTGCTCAAGCCAGAAATGTGGGGTGAATTAACACTTCTCCCTTCATCATATAGCCAAAGCATCTCTAAGTTCTGTCAGTGCTACCTTGTACATTCACCTACTTCCCTCCTTTGTTGCTGCCACCACCCTATTTCAGGCTGCCCTCTTCCTTTACTTGTCTAAGAGCAGCCTTTCACTGGTCCCCCATCTACAGACTTGCCCTCCTCTACTACATCCTACACATTAAAGCCAGAGTGGTTAACCTAAAACAACTGGTCTAAAAACACTTCACCGTGCCAATCTCTTCAAACTCTTCCCTGACTCTCCACTGGCCTAGGATGATGTCCAGATTCCTTCTCAAGAGAAGCACTATACTGAATCATCGCAGATGTCCAAACTTGAAGGTGCTCAGGAACCAGCTCTGGTCGTTAAGATGCTGCAGGTCTGGGTTGGTGCCTGAGTTCTTACATTTCTAACAAGCTCCCAGATGATGCTGATAATCCTGATCTGTGGACCATACTCTGTGGGCCAACTCGGCAAAAGCTGAAATCCCAGTTGTGTCACTCACCAAGGCTGGGAACTTAGAAAAGTCACTAGCCTGTGTGTGTCTCACTTGCCTTGTATATAAAGTGGTCATAATGGTGCACCTTCTTCTTAGGTTGGTTATGAGAAAGAAAAGATGTTACAATAACTTGCAATATAGTAATTGCTAAGTGCTAGTTATTGTTATTACTAGTCACAATCCTGAGTGGTTTAGCCTCTACATTCTTCCAAACACACACACACACACACAGTCTACTAGTTAATAGAAATAAATGTATATATACCATTATCAAAATTTCACCTGGGAAACTGATACTTGCAATTCAAAAATCTTATAAACTATAACCTAAAAAAATGGATAATAAGTTAGATCCTAAAAAATATTTTAAATTAGAATTAACAGGTATTCCAATTAACATAAATAGAATATTTATTGTTTTGTTTATTTTTTGGCTAAGCCAAGAGCTTAGAAATAATGTTATTGATTCCTTGATTTTATTTTTGTTAAGTTTTAAACTACAAAGCTAGCATAATCAGAATCATAGTTTAACCTCCCAGTTAATAAAATATTTTATATATGTTATTTTCTTTCTTCTCCCTTCCCCTCACTTACACATGCATCCACCGTACAACAGACTAAAGAATAAAACCACCTTTATTATAACACATGTGTGGTTTGGAAAGTGTCACTTTATCCTGTGCTCCCCCTTTCAGAGTTCTAAGACAGTTGCAGAATAGACACAGGTGTCATAATGGGATCAAACTGTCATCAATTTTATCATTGTTAAAGCTGGATTGGAAAACAAACCTTTTTCTAAAGACTGCCCTACCCAGGCTGAATCAAGTTTATTCTCCATCGGGGTGGAACTTGGACCCTTTAAGCATTTTTTGGTGGGACAGGCAGCTCAGTGGGCTCTCTCCAGGGAGGGGGGCAAAGTTGGGGCGAGTACACTAGCAATTTTGACCACAGTGAGGCGAAGGGAGAGTGGATAACCCCTGAGAGGGTCCAACTGCCCAATTACTTACCACTCCTTGAGTGGAGTAGAATCAGTGTGCCCCAGGGAGGGACATGTTATCCCCAATACTTTCAAAAGAGAGAAAAATTTTAAATGACAAGTATTGGGGAAATTTTAATAAATTTAAATAAAAATTTAAATGAAAGTATTGGGGAAATTTTATCCCCAATCTTTCAAAAGAGAGAAAAATTTTAAATGACAAGTATAGAAATCTGGAGGAATGAGAGGTTCTCTCATATATTTTTTTCTTAGTTATAATTTTTTAATTATTTTTTAAGTTGTCATTTTTTTCAATTACAGCTTACATTCAATATTATTTTTAGGAGTTTCAGGTGTTCAGCACAGTGGCAGACAATCATACACTTTACAAAGTGTTCTCCAGATATTTCATATGACCTTTTATTTTTAAAAAATCTGCTTTCTTATAAACTTAAGTCATCAATGTAAATTGTTGAAATGCCATGTAAGAGAGATCGTTAGCTGACAGCATGTCGCAGACCTACTTTCACAGTCTGACAGTGTGTTCTCCAGTTGGCCAGGAGGAAAATAGCAACGGGTGGCTGAGTTTTTAAAGCTCTGACATGTAACACTATTTTGTTTCATATGTGACCTTTCCATCATCCATACATGAATGGAATGCTGCCCTCCAGGTGCGGGCCCTCAGATGTAATACAGTGCTCTCTGGCTGTGGTCCACACCCCCTGGCATGCCGTTTCTCCACCTCCACAAGTCTGTGGATACCCTACTGCTTAGGATCCTCCCTCCACCTTTTCTTAGAGACTAACTTTTCTTTAGACTATAGCTTCAGAAGAAGCTGTATCTGAATTTTTTTAGAAATGTCCTGAAATTTCCAGTGTACCCTGTGTATAGGTTCAAGCATTTCCACATGTCCCCTGCCCTTTCTTCCCTCACTCCCTTCCATCCACAATATTTACTGAGTGCCCATCACATGCTAGTAATATGCTAGACAGCAGCAGTGTGCTGGGAACAGAGCATCTGTCTTGCTGGAAGCTTACTATGGAGCAGAAAGATTAACAAGGCTAACCTTTCTGTACCCTAAAGTACCAAGGGCTGTGAGAACTTACAGCCAGGGTCCTCATCTGGTGGAAGAGTGACGGAGTAAAGACATTATTTGTGGGTCTCTCTCCTGTGCGAGCATGGAACCTTTTCATAAGTAGAGATGGGTCTCACTGATGAGTTCCGTGGATGGCCCAAAGCTGGCATTCACACGTTCTTTGTGAAACCGACGGAACTAAAGCACACTGTGTCTAGAGAGCCAGCTGCTCAATACTGTTGGGTTTAAAAGTAAAAAGAGCCAGACCAAGGCCAATGCCAGATTGTGGAGGGTCTGAAATGCTATGCTAAAAAACTTAAGAGTATGAGGGTCACAGAAAGTAGTGTGATTCAAAGACAAGTCATTTAAAGACTTTGGGTTGGCCTCCATTTATAAAAGGGGAAGGAAGTGGCTATTCGGCTCTAAACCTTTAATATTCTATCACCAAACATCTGACTTTTTTTCCTTACTGCTCTCATTCAATATATATTTGCTCCAGGGACACAGTTTCGAATGAGGCAGGAAAGGCCTCTGCGCCTGTTGGTGTGACACATTCGTCTGCCTTAAAAATTCACATGCCGGATGATACTTAGGATGAAAATGAAAATAACACTAAAACATAACCAATATTTGTCATTTTATACTGTGAACATTTGGTTTCCAAGGGAATGATAACAGATTTTTTCCCTTTCCTTTAAACACTGAATTAGCATAAACAACCTGAGAGCAACATGCTATTTTTCCAAAGCTCTAAACGCACAACTGCCAAGAGAAGGCCATGAGTTCTCTGGCTATAATCAAGTCCTTTGATGGATGCTGAGAATCAACTTTGTCTAAATCTCTGAGACTAGGAGCAGATAAAAATTAAATTAAACCTGGTTTTAAATATCACCATGCTATGCTTTAAATGGCGACCCCCTCTATCATCAACAAATTTTAAACTGTCAAGAAAGTAGCTTGTAATTATTGACGTGTTATCACCAAAGTACAGGATACAGTTCTGCCTTGAATCTTTTTAAATCACTTTCTGGTAAGAAAATGATTATTTTGCTTCAGGCATAAACACTTGGAAAACTTCCACCCACTTTGAACCCCAACCCAAACACTGCCCCCACCCACCCTCACACCACTTGGCACACATAGTCACATATACTCACACACACATACACACCCCACAGGCACACACATCACTACCTCATTTTTAGGTAAGGGTCAAGAAAATAAATCCAAGTGTGGTATTGGGCTTTGCTTCTCTACTCCACAGTAAGCCAATAATAGCTCCAATAAACAAAACCAATGGAAATTGAGTTGCTGTGAACATTGCAGGGGACGTGTCCCTGCTAGTGAGGCTAATTGGGTCACTTTTCACAGCCAGTGTCAGCCTGGCTGCAGGCACAGAAGAACCGGTGGTTATCTGGTCAGAAATTAAAACCTGGAGTGTCAGTTACAAATAAGGAGAGGGCTTTCATCTTTTTCTTTTTTTTGAAAACTCAGAGCAGGAACCCAAGCTGTCATTCCATACAAGCTTTTTGCCCATTTATATATGAAAACAGCATCAACAAAAAGGCTCTGATGAGCCAGGAAATCTGAGTTCTAGTTGAAGATTTTTCACTAACCAATTTATTAGCTTAAAAAAACCCCTCAATTTGCCTTTCTAAACTTCAGTTTTTCTCACTTGTTAGATGAGAGAAATAAGCAAGAGAATTTCATCAATCCCTCCCAGCTCCCAGATTTAGTGATTCTGTGACAATGGGCCTAGGTCAGAAGCGTGCTTTCATCACAAAGCAAAACTAACAAAGTGACAGCAGAACCAGGAGGCTTCTCTTGATATCTTCCCATGTTCACAGGGGATTCCTTCCTGATTTTCCCTACAAGTCTCCTCTCCTGTGTTTGTCCTTGTACTTCCTTGCTCTCATCTTCTTTATCCTAATACCTGAAGTTTAATTTTTTTAGTAACTTATTACAGAAAAGTCTGGTTGTGCCATCAATTTATTGCAGAGTAGAAATCAATTCTTGCCTTCTTGAGAAAATGAGGTCACACAGAGCAAAGCTAAAAAACAAATTGTTCAAAATTGTAGTAAATATAAGATTCTTTAAGTGGATCACCAAACCAGCATCCAATTTTGCTGATCTTAAAGAAAATCTCATTTTTATTTAACAGCCTGGTCCTAAATAGGTCACTCTTAACTAACTAGAAATCTAGTCTAAAAAGAAGCTTGGTAAAATTTATTTCAATTAGCAATGTAGGTATTATAAGTATTTACAAAATTTTATTTACAAGCTATATTCTACTTTTCTGAATTTTTCAGGAAAGGAATATTAGCCGATTGATACCCTCTCGAGACTTGAGTTGCAATCTCTATAAAATGAGGAGTTGAAACTAATATATCTCTTCTAATTCTTATGTGCTATGATTAAGAACAAGATATTCCGGGGAAATAAATTTGGTCTTTTAATTTGAGTTCATTTCATCTAATTTTTAAAATAAGTTACTCATGCATCTAGGACAAAATTCAAAAGGTACAAAAGGCTAGATAGTGAAAAGTACATCTCACTACCTTCCTTGTCCCTTCAAGTCATGCTGTGCAAAAGGAACTCCAGGCATTTTCAAGTTCAATGTCAGTTAAGGAGAAGCCAAGTTTAACTGATCAGTACCAAATGTTACAACATTATTAGGATAAATTACAGTGGTACCTCAGTACTCGTTGTTAATTTGTTCCCAAACTCATGACGAGTGCCAAAACTGAAGAGTACCAAATGATGAAGCATTTTCTCTTTAGGGGCAGCATCGTGACTTATATAAATTCTAGTGCTATGAGTCCGGAGAAAGGACAGAGTAATGGAGTACTAAAGCATTTTTTCCCATTAAAATGAGATGAGTACAGGATTTGATGAGTTCTGAAGCCGATAAGTACTGAGGTATGACTTTAATTTACAATATTCCACCTTGCAAGGCAGAATATAAATACCATGGTTTTGTTTTATTTTGTTTTACAATAAATGTATTTAGATGCTGCCAAAATGCCTGGTGGGATGTTGATAATGTAGTGGTTTTATAAAGTGTGACTATGACCTGTCCCGAAAAAGCATGAAAATAGTCAACTGAGATTTAAGAATTTGGAGGCTGATTAGAAATTACATGCATATGACAAGGGGTACACATGCCTTATGACCAGCCCTTAGTGTCAAGCTGCTGGACTTCACAGAAGTGCCTGGGGTTGCCCCTTGACCCCTGGCTGAGAGCATTCCTTTTATCAGAGGTCTAGCCCTCTCCTCCCCAGCCCTCTACAGGCTCAGTTGGTGTCTAAAGTCTGTAAAGACCAAAATAGAAAGGTCCAAAGAGATGGATAGCAAATACCTACTGCATATCTGCATCTATCTGCAACACTGCTGGTAAACTTGCCAAGAGGAAGAATTCTTGTTATCCTTTGATTTGGCCTACCAGTTCAGAGGGGAAGAAGGATCTGGAGCATCCTCCCTAGAAATCAAGGACAGAATGCTTATCTAGAAGGTTCTAGTCACCTAGGGACTTATAATTTCCCAATAGGAAATTCCGACTGTAAGTGCTTCTGCTTATTTGCTTGATCTTGAGCCATCATCACTTTCAATGAAGTAGAATCCTTTGAAAATTATCATCAGTTTTATCTGAGACATTTTTCAATCACCCAGTAAGTGTTGGGCACTTGCAGCTTCAACTGAGTACAGGAATAAGGCACACTTGGTTGCTCTTAGTGAGCTTTCGTTATGATTATAAGGAATACAACACACACCCCAAATATTTTAATATAAGGTAAAATATAAAAAATATCTAAGAGAAACTCGAAGGCTCTCATTAAACACATCATAATACAACTTACAAATGCACTCTCGGATACCTTAAAATTCAAAAACTTTTGAAGCTTTAAGTCAGAGGTGAAATACAACTTGACAGACTCATCTTATTTCAGAAAGCCCAGAAATTAGCTCTTCTTTCATTATTGTGTTTTGTGAATTTGAAGAAGATCATAAGCCAACAGAATCTATAATGCTCATTAATGCTGAACAGATGAAAGCCAATATATTATATGGTTAGACTTGGCTTATTCTCAGGAAAGAATTATGATTCTTTATGATTTTTTATGATTATGATTTTGATTGATTGTGAAATCTTATTTATTGCTCTTAGTTGAATGGCGGAAAGATCTTCCTAACTAATTTGTTTAACTGGAGTTGTCATTAGGTAAGTTTTGGATTTAAAAAACTGTTTTATAGGTTCCATTAGATAAAGAATGCATTTATCATTTTATATTGGTCACTTCCCAAATAATGCCCACTCTTTATTTTATAAGACAGTTTCTAATACAATTTATATATGATCAGAATGGAAATGATTTGTTTCTTATATTTAAAATGTATTTGTTTAAAAGAAAATTCTGGAACATAATTTTTCCTTGGTTTTCCTATAGCATGAAGAGACTATATAGGGGTAAGGTAAGTTGACTGTGCCATGGAGATTGGAGCAACTCCTCTAAATTCCCGAATCCATGGTTATTAATCTAACCTGCTCTCAAGCCACTGTTTGAATTTGTTTGTCATCCTTTTAAGGTAAATTAATTAAGGATTGAGTTTTCTCATCACTCATTATGAAAGGAAATTCAAAAATAAAATACGGTGATTACGATGATCAATGTATAGTTCCTCATATCAGAGCACATGGAACTCAACAATGAAAAAAATTTACAAAGGACATTGTCTTTCCTCTCCGATGAGGTATACCCACCCCCCCAGAAGATTCCTCCGGACAGCATATTTTTCATGTAATGTTGTGCATTCAAATACCTGGCCCTGTGGAGTTATTCGGCCATCTAATAACACGTTATTAGCACGTGTTATAGATGTGGCATAGGTCACAGGTTTAGTCCTCCTCAGTAGACTTAGTTTATACAATGACAGATCATGCTTTATGCTAAATAACCTTCCATTTGTTCTTAGACATAAGGGAAAGCAGGCAGAAACAGTGCTACACAGATGGATCCATGGAGCTCCCTCTCCATGGTTAAGAAAATAACTGCTAGGGCCCTGGCTGGTGTGACTCACTTGACTGAGTGTTAGCCTGCAAACCAAAGCATCACTGGTTCGGGTCCTAGTCAGGGCACATGCCTGGGTTGTGGGCAAGGTCCCCGGGGAGGGGGGCAGTGCGCAAGAGGCACATTGATGTTTCCCTCCTTCTCTTTCTCCTTCCTTTTTCCTCTAAAAATAAATATATAAAATCTTTAAAAAAGAAAATAACTACTAGGGTTCAGATAGTGATAGTATTGTAGTTAAGGAGCATGATCAATAAGGTGATTTTCAAATAGAAAGGAAGACCAAAACAAACAAAAATATTATACAACTACTATCTTTGAGAAATTCCATAGAGCACTTGTCAAATTTTTCAAGAATCTAGTGGCAGGGGAAATATTTTGATAATTATGTTAGATCTGCAGTGACCTCATAGACTCCACCTCCAGGAAATGGGGTTGATTTGGTAGATTCATACACAGGAAACACTTACCTTGCCCTTACCACAAGCTGACCCTATGCTAAATCGTTTTGGATAAATTATCTCTTTTAGTTCAGTCCTTGTATGTACCAAATCCTAGTACTAAATCAGAACCTCAAACAAGACCTTGAAAAGATCTCAAGACAACTTAAGAACCAGATTTGCTCTTCTAGAATACCTTGTATAGAAATAACTGCACACTTTCAAGGAGTAGAAGCAAAGACTCAGCTTATACATGCTGAAATGATTGTGGTCCCTTTGGTGTCAAAATTGTAGGAGAAAGCCTAATGATGAGTTTAAAAGCAGAAAGTGGATAGACAGAGTGCTAAATAATTCAGTTTCATCTGAAAAAGCAATACTTCTTTGTCTTGCAAATTTTCTTATATCTCAGTGTGGAAAAAACTCAAGGATGGTATTAAACCTACATATATGGTTATACTTACACATGACCATGAACTATATCTATTTCAGTAGCAGCTGCCAAAATTACATAATTCTGAATGTAATCCCTCCAAGAAAAATCATACAAAGCACTTTTTGTCTTTATTAGTATCTACAGAACAAGTTAACCGCATGGAAAGCTCTAGTCAGCTGTTTTTGTTTCATGGGAGAATAGTTCATCAGTTCTCAGGAGAATTTATATTTGACCTCTCTGCACAGGACCTTCAGCTTCCAACAAACAGTGTTTGTGAATACACCCCCAGAGACTAATATCGAACATTCCACTACAATTCTATAGTGCTTGTTTTAGGTTATTTTTGATTGATGGCCTGAAGTTATGGCTTTAGTTATTTTTAACATTGTTTGTTGGGTTTTGTAAATGTCATGTTGGAGGAGGGAGAAAAATATCCTCATCCTTTAAAATGGGAACTGCAGTTATAACTCTGTCTGTCCCATCAAGTCAAGTACGCCGAAAGCCAACTTATCCATGATTTCTTGATTCTTGCATTGCACTTGAGCCTAGAGTGGGATCATAGCAGCTGATATTGTTCTCATTTCACAGTTAAGAAAAGTAAGGGACAGAAAGGTTAAATGGTTGCTGTAACACTGACTAGGTTGGATGCCAACTAGTGCTAGAGCAACGGTGGAGCAACATACAGCATCTGACTTCTAACCCAGTATTTCTCTCAGTACATTATGTCTTGGGTTCCAAGCAAACAACAGATGAGAAGTACACACAGGCCTGCTCAACTCTACCCTCAGAACCAGGAAAAGAAATGAAAGAAAAGTAGAAAAGGAGAACTTCTTTACTAGTTATTTTAGTTCTTTTATATATTTTTAAATATGTGACTTTTTAATTTTCTGCTACAGAACATGTACTTTTCTCATCTAGCCTTGTCTACACTGACCTGAGCACTTCATTTTTTCATGTATCTTAACTGCCCTAAATTTTGTTGGATTTGATGAAACAACCCTTCAGCTAATAGCATAGATCTCAGGAGACAAAGACCTTGCCATCTTGCTAAAGACACGGTTTGTCTCAAAATGTCATGTGCACAGACCCAGAAAAGTTTGATATAGCTTCCAACAGAGAATTGAAGTGTCTGATCAAACAGTCAGAAAACTGTTGGTGATAGCTTATTTGTGCCACTAGTTTAGAAAAAAACTTCTAATAATGTCCACAGATTAAGGATCTTCTGCTGCTTCTTTGATATCCTCCTCAGCTGGTATTCAAAGACAGTCTAGCTGTCGTCTTCAACTGTGCTCACAGGGAGAGTCAAAGAATCCTCCTTGCCAAGGACAGGCCCTTAGGCTTTACCCTCTGTTCTCTAACCTTTATTCTCAGTCTGCCACAGACATAATAGACACAAATTAATTCATTACTCAAGTAAACATGTAGCATACAGATTCTTACCTCTTTTATGCTTGAGCCTTTACCCTTTATTCTAATGATCTAATTCTCTTCGTGTGTGTTTTCATTAATGCTCACATTGGACTCCATGCCCTTGGAGAACTGGAAGTTCTCCATTCGTTTCTTCAGTCACAGAGCATATTCTCAGGTCCTGCTGGGCTCAGAGCTGAGACACACAGATGAAATAAGCAATATCCTTACTCTTGAGGAGCAGACCAGTGAGAAAGAAACACACAGGGCAAAACCACTGATACAGAACATGGCACAAGAAAAATAGACAAAATGAGAGCAGCTACTCTTTCCCAAGAGATATGAGAAAGTTACTGAGAAGGATTTCTCACTAGACTTTGGTTACTGAGGAGAATCATCAGGTGGACAGAGTCAGTGGACGACAAGGAGGAGAGCATTAGAGAAAAAAGAAGGCATGTGTGAAGGCCCAAAGGCATAAAAGGACACAATGAATTTGAAGAACAGGAAGTCATGAGAAGTGGCTAAAGCACAGGTTGAGTATGTGAGTGTGCCACGCAGTGCAAGGATGGGAAAGGGATAAAGAGATGTTAGGAAAAGTAGGAAAGCTGGAACAGGGTCTCTATGCTAAGTAATGAAGTTGAGACTGTTTCACAATCAAAAAAAAGTTTTGGAGGTTTTCTTCCAGGGAAGGGAGATAATCAGATAAGTCAGAGAAAGATTTTTCCTAAGCATTATGGAGTATGTTCTGGAATTCCCTGGGAGTGTTGAGCTTATCATCAGAGAACAAAAGTCATATAGTAGAAATGTGCTTGGTTCCACTCAAGAGAGTAAGAAATCTTTAATAATATCTTCAGTTTAATGTGGTCCATCAAAGATATGAGGAGAGCCTAAATTAAGATTCGAGGGATGCTTCTGAAGTGGAATCAATAGGACGTGTGGTGCCCAATAAACATGTGTAGGAGTGCAGGCAGGGAAGGCGGGAAAGAAAATGATTGAAAGAATTGCCTTAGGAAACTATGTCATTTATATAACTGTGCACGGTAATGGTTTCTGTAACTCTTTATAAAGAGTAGAGCAATATACTACCTTGTTCAATGAGGCTTCCAAGATGCTCTTGACTAGCATGAATCCCCTGTCTACCCTCAGAGCAGCAATTCAAATTATAAAAGCCTAAGTGGGAAAATGCCCACAGGTAAATTCAATTAAATACATTTCAAATTAAGATTCTGCCTTGACTATGGGAGTTGGGGGGCGGGGTGGATGGAGGAGGGCAAAGGAGGGAAAGTTAGGACAACTGTAATAGAATAACAATAAAAATGATAAAAAGGCAAAAAATAAAATAAAATTCTATCATTGACATTAAAAAATATTCTGCATTCAGTGTCTGTCTCCATCCAAGTTCAGTACATCAATCAGATATGTTTCAAAGACTTCAGTATTTTGTAGTAACACTTTCCAAGAGCATTTTAATATTCCTTATGTCATTTAGATTTAAATTCTTTCAAGTTCTTCCCTGAAGTAAAGCAGAATCAAATTTGCTTTAGAGAATCAATGAAAGACCTGAATGGGCAATTGAAATACTCATGTAGCTCTTTTGGATAAATGTAGATGCATTTATGCAGGCAGAGTGAAGCTACTGTGAATAGCCAGATGAAAATTAAACCAAAAAAAAAAAACAAACTGTAAAGAACAGCACACTTCGACATATGTACAAAAGTAGTTCCTATGGTATCATTTGCATCTATTTAGCAAAATTTATAGATCATGTATTAAAGATAGAAATGATCTTAGATTCCACTTACTGTATATCCTCTACTTTAAGACATGTAATCAATGTGACAATTTTATATAGTACTAACATTACCTGACTCCATGGGGAACAAAAAACTGTAAGCAAATCAATGTACTAACTTATCATTGATATTTACAATAAAGGATATACAGTGTTTCAATTCCCTCAAGTAAATAAAATTCCTCAAAAACACATCCACATAGATACATTGGAAACCAAAATACCCACATTATATCTAGCACATTTCAACTCCACCATGAGAAGCAAAAGCCCTCTCAGTTTTGAAACTTGTAATCTACAACAGGAAAGTAATAGGACCCATCAGGGTGTCCTCAATTTGTGCAACGTTATGCATGAAGCTCGTGTATGTTGCAACCATGCCCTTGCTTTGCACATTTCCATGGTAACTGAGTATGGAGAGACAAAGGGGGAACTTTATTGTCTCCCTCTCCCCTCTCTTGCCTCTCAAATGGTCCCCCTCAACCATCAACCCTGTGCATCAGCCTACAGCACCCCGAATCTTCCTTGTTAGGACAATTTCCATGACCACCATTAGCATGCAAAACCCGTATCTGGATATGCTAGAACCATCTGGATTATTTCCCTGTTGACAAACATAAAGAAAGGATGGTTTAACACATACTACTTCTACTCATTTATCACCAATTTTTAAAAACCTTTTAAAAATAACACATCACATATGTGTAAAAATATTTTTACATACATGTGAAGTATAAGAAATAACAATTTGATTAAAGAAATTAAACATGTCTTATATATTTGAAACCCTCTATCAATTTTGTAATCCTTTGGTTGTTTCTTTATTTCATAATATACTAGAAACCTTACAAAATGGAAGTAGTCTAGGAGTTCCCAAGTCCTGAGAGGCCACACTTCACAGTGCTATTATATACATCTAGGACTAAATAAATATTCATGATAAAAGTGGTATTTTCCATCTTAAGTGATAAAAGTTAAAGGTATATGCTCTATTTCACTATTAAGAGATAACACTTGATCACTGTAAATGAAAATAATCCTTGCATTTTAAATCCTTTCAAGGGAATCAGATCTATTTTCCTTCTGTTTCCAATCCCTCATTCACACATTAAATATGCTTGTACTCACTAGGAAGGGAAATTTCTGCAAAATTAATCAAATACAAATTCAATGTTCTTTGCAAATAATTTTGGGATGCTCCATTGGGAACTTTTTATTCTGAATTTTCATATTTCCTGTGAAAAGACTCACAGGTTCCAAATACAGTCTTTTCTCTTTTAGTGAAGAACAATATAGCAAAACTGCTATACACAGAATCGGTGAAATTGTATATTCAGTAAGACACTCTGCTGGAAATGTCATCATTAAAATCAAAGATGGCAAAACATAGAGATACAATTTATTTTTTTAATATTTTATTTATTTATTTTTAGAGAGAGGGGAAGGGAAGGAGAAAGAGAGAGAGAGAAACATCAATGTTTGGTTGCCTTTTGCACACCCCCTACTGGGGACCTGGTCTGCAACCCAGGTATGTGCCCTGTCTGGGAATTGAACCTGTGACCCTTTGGTTTGCAGTCCCACGCTCAATCCATTCAGCTACACCAGCCAAAGCAAGGCATACAACTTAAATATAGCAAATACAAAATCACATTTATAATACTATAAAAAGCAGTATAATAGTTCATTGATTTTCTGATTTTGCTAAAATTTAAAAAAATTCTGAGATGGAAAATTAGAAAATATTCATAGTTCTCAATACATTCCAGTAAAGCCAGAGATGACAAATCTCACTTTCAAAGCAAATCAGTGCTACTGCTCTTGATGGCAGTGAAAAGCTCATGTTCAATGTCTAAGCAAACATTTTGAAATCTATATTTTCTTCTGTAATGGTTTTTCTAAATAAACAAAATAACTAGAATTCTTATCCTGGCCTTGGCTTTATATTTCGTATCAGCTTTTAATTCTGTAAGATGCTGCTGCTATTATTCGTTCTATATGCATGCGAGGTAGAGAGGCAATAGCTCTTCCGACCATTGGTGGCTTTATCTGCACTTCTGCATCTGGGCAATTGTTCAACTTTAGTCACAAAGTCACAAAGACGTGGCACGTGCACCGAATCCTACCATCAGAGGAGTTTCATTTGGCCAACTTGGCATAGGACATTTAGATGAAAATGCCCAGGAGGAAAGTCATAAACAGGCTAAGGCTAGAGACTTTGGAGTTAACAAAATATCTGAAGTCACAGGCAAGGAGCATGTCCCAAGGGAGAGTATATGGTACAGGAAGATCTTAGGACTCATGTGTCCAAATCATTAGGTACCCAATAAAGATTTAAGAACTAAACAAAGGCCTGGAAAATGCAATGTACTCGATTAATAATTTCTATTACATCTAGAGTAAAAAAGACTGTTCATATTTCCATGGAATTCCACCTCCAGAACTCTCCAGCAAGAAAGTAAGTGATGACACTTAGTGAAAGCCCTATCAACAGTTCATATTTATATCCCTGAGGTGAAATCATTCTATTTCAACACATCACATTCTCATTGAATCTCACATTTAGTCAATGATGAATGCAAGATATTTTTCACAATCTGGCTGGTGGCTTGATGCATTTTGTCAGCAAAATACAAAGGAACTGCCAAGACTGGAGCGTGGCCTTTCTTAAATCACTCCAAGTGTAACCACGGCTGCAGCATATTTTCCTAAATTGGTGAATTTTCTCTTAAGAAAATATCAAATTCATTCCAGGGCTGGACTCATATTGAGGTTTTGTAATTTCTCTTATCAACAAAATTTGCCTTTATATATGTGGATCATTTTCTTATTCACAGGATCGAACCAAAATGACAAATTCTCAATTTGACTGTCAATACTGCACAGTGTCACTTCTTGGGAAGAAGTTTATGCTCAAGGACGGCAATCCATACTGCCTTTCATGTTATGATCGTGTCTTTTGTAACTATTGTGAGGAGTGCAAACAAGCAATTGAATCAGATTCCAAGGTAGGCCTTACCTCAGTTCGCAGAGTTATTGTGTATGAACAGCAGACAAAAGCTTTGGATTGCCTCTTTCCTTCAGTTAACTGTCAGTATTCTATTGTGCTGCTGCTACAGGGCATAAGCAGCTTCCAAGTTACCATCAATCAAGTTCCAGGCACTATGCTTAGCACTATGAAATGTAACATATATTTTAATCCTCACAATGACTTTAAGAAGTAGTTTAGGGTGCTAAATATTAAAGAGGTTAAGTTATCTGTCCAAAGTTACACAGATAAAATGTTGCATTACTTCTGAAATCACAGGAGTATAAAAGAATAAATGCAAAGATATTAGATTTGTACATATTCAAAAATAGATATTTTTCTAATTTCAAATCAGCCTCATCACATCTCTCCTGCCCTGATACCATCACATGTACAGTTCATTCCTCCCACAAAGCACATTATTGTAATTTTTCTTATTTCTCATCTTTTTTTTTTTGCCTTTTTTTAGCTAGGTGGTATTGAGATTTGGTTTAGTTAAGTGTCAAATACCAATAAGATATGACAATCTAAAAGTAAAGATTGTTCCATAAAAAACCTCTCTTGTTTATAAAAGGAAGGTAGAGAAAACTTGAAGAAAGAGGAGAGGATCCATTTATTTTCCATCTTTCGTGACCAACTCAGAAAGCCCCAAGCTCTCGCTCTTAATTGCCCAGGGTGTCTCCTCTCTATGGGTAATAGTATCAATAGCAGCTTTCCCTTGACCTACCAGCACAACCTACTGGCACCCGAGTCCCAGGAGTGTTGGTTGTGTCATAAAATAGCCTGCTTTATCGCAAACACATTTAATTAACTTCTTCACTGTCTCGAAGGATCTTTGTTACAAAGGCCGGCACTGGCACGAAAGATGCTTCAACTGTGCCAAGTGCAATCACTCTTTGGTGGAAAAGCCTTTTGCTGCCAAGGATGAGCGCCTGCTGTGCTCAGAGTGCTATTCTAACGAGTGCTCCTCCAAGTGCTTCCACTGCAAGAAGACCATCATGCCTGGTAAGATCAAAGGGGAGCCGGCTCTCTAAGTGAAGCTGCAATGCTTTGAGTTAAGCCCAAGCACAGGAAGAGTGTAGCAGCTGGCAGCGAAATCCTGCTTCTGAGGAAAACACTTTTGTTGCTATCTCTTGACTTCATTTAGCGTACTGTGGAAATAAATATAATTTTCTGTCTTGAATGGGTAAATTAGGGTGTTCTGCATATTTTCATAAACCTAAGTCAGAGGAACAATTTGAACTAGCATGTGAGCCATGGAGTAAAAGCAAAACCTACACCAACAATAGTAACAGGGCATTAAACCCCCTGCCCTGGATGGAACCAGTGGCAGCTTTTGTTCTCTCTTAGGAAAGAAAAGGATGTGTTGCACTTTTAGGCCAGCACTAATTGTCTCTGTTTTGATCCTCTTCTCAATCTGTATAGACATCAACATAAGAACCTGATTCTCTTATTTTCTTATTATAGATTCAAAGACTTTCTGGGAGTTCAGAGCTGCACATCATCAATCTCAGGAGTCAGTGCCCTGGCATTCCTAATGTTCCTATAATATGGCCCAATTCATCTAAACCACATGCAGCCTTGAATTCAGAGTCCCTACTTACAACACTTTCAAACCTCAAAGTTGTAACTTACAGAGCACAAGATTTTCAGTGCAGGTGTGATCAACCATCATTGTGGCAGAACTCTGTATTTTTTCCAGATAAATGTTTTAGAAACCAACAAAGCATTATTTTATAAGGACAATTAGTTTATTATCTTAACTTTAAAATAGATTTTAAGTAATTTGATTTATCTTTGCTTAAAAGAAAATAAAGTTACGCTTGATTTGTACTAACAGCTTCTTCCTTTGGGGGTACAGGTTCCCGCAAAATGGAATTTAAGGGAAACTACTGGCATGAAACCTGCTTTGTGTGTGAGCATTGCCGACAGCCAATAGGAACTAAACCTTTGATCTCCAAAGACAGTGGCAATTACTGCGTGCGGTGTTTTGAGAAGGAGTTTGCCCACTACTGCAGCTTTTGTAAGAAGGTAATTGTCTAAAGAGAATGAAGCTTATGGAATCTTCCAGATCACTCTGCTTTTCTAGCTGCATTATACATTTGAAATGAACCGATACTACCATATTATTGTTGTCTATATACATTCACGCTAGTGTGAATTTCAGCGCATCCAGCCTGTGTCTGTGAGGATGGCCATCTCTCCTCATTACCATAAAATTCCACCCAGAACATGATTTAATATCCCAAAATCTCAAGTGACTTGATATTCCAGTTCCATTCACTGCTTTATACTAGATTTGGTGTATTCTAGTAGAGAACACATATCTCTCTTTGAACAAAATATTGCAAAGAAAATAATTTTCAATCCACTTAATTTCAGAGAAATACAGATTTGTCTCAAAGAGTGATAAAGTGAACCAATTTAAAAAAGAATCTTACTTCCTCACATTGTGTCTCAGCAATGCAAATGTTTTCTTAGCTTGAAGATTTTATATTTCTAAAGAGTAAACAGGTAGGCTCAAGAGAGTGATGAGATCGTCAGGGAGATTCCTTAGACAGAAAGAGGGCTAAAAGCTTTGAGTGCTTTCCCTCCCTTCCAGTGCCAGAGAGTATCATGTGGGGCCTTTTGACTTAAATACCCATTTCAAACATATTTTCCAATAGAAAAAAAAAAGTGAATTTTTTCAAGTAAACTTTGTCTAATTCTTATCTTCTAAGCTTTTTTGTGAAAGTCACTCTAGCACTTTTATAAAACCTGTCTCTAGTCCATAAGGCATGTATATTGATGTTCTCGAAGAAATCTTTGACCTGTGAGGCATCATAAGTTTAAAATAGAACTATAAATGGTGACGAGAAAGCTGAGTCATGAAAATATATTGGACTGGTACAGCGATTTCTAAACACTTCTGATACATGGATCACTGTGGCTGGTCTCTTCAGACTTTCTGTGTTCTCGCATCTGGCCAGCTAGAAGGCTCTTTGCCACTTGCCATAGATACACGTGCAAACATGCATGTACCCAAACACACACACAGTAATTTTCTATATATATATTTAAAATACTACTACTGCATCTGAGGAGGCATCAACCCCTAAGTTATATAAACCCCTAAGTTACATAAACTCCTAAGTTATAATTCTAAAGTTATACTACAATGATGGCTGAAGATTACGAATGATAGTACCATGGCATCCTATACTCGGGGACTTTGATTACACTGCCAGAAACATGACTTAAAAAATGACTTCAACAGCCACAGCCAAACCCTGTGGCAGGTGAAGCTCCGAAAAGTCACCAGAGTCAATGACAAACATTTAGAAACAGATCCTGGAAATAAAAACAGATTTATCTCACTATTTTGAGGGACAAATAAGCGGGCCATTTTTAGGCTGTTTCCTAAAGATTTACCCTAAAATATTAATGAGACTTATGGGAAATATCTTAAAGGCATTTACTGGGGATGAAATATAAAGTTTCTGTGACACTATAAGGCTTCAGAGGGGAACTTCTCTAGAACATCAACTGCTGAGCGCGGCCTGGAGCCAAAGCACGGGCACTTCCCAGCTTATGGGAGCCTGTCCTATATTTAGGCCATGATTTGAGGTCACCAAAAATTTATGAAATGTTTATGTTGGGTAATAGACAGATCATGGCATGCCAGATTATTTTCTATTTAGTTTTTTAAGCCACAAGTCCCTTAAGGAAAGGTGGATATAATTGTTTCTCATCAAGACGATCCAGGCTGGAAAAAAAAACAATTCATTTCAACCCAACCAAAGATCAAGTCTATAAAACAGAATAAAACAGGCAAAAGTACTTGACAGTCAAACCCTTAGAACTTTTTCCATAGGTTTTGTTTTGTGAAACTAAAATTTATTTTCTACCACACAGCAAGTAACCTCAAACTACAAGTGCTTTGAATTCAAGCTTCTCGAGATTCAAATAGGGTATTCTGCAATTCATCAGCTGTTGTGTACAGGGTATAAAATCATTTTGTTTCCACTTTGTCAGAAAGAAACTTGATCTACATCTTGGGAATAATCAGTGGTAAAAATGAAGCCTGAATATTAGACTCATTTTAGCCCACCTGCCTCTTCAAAAAGAACATAATCACAAGGAAACTATTTTTTTGATTTTCATAAAATTCTTTTTTAAATTTAATCTTTATTGTATTTTTACCCATTACCATTCAGTCTCCTCATTTCCCCTCTCCCCAGCAATCACCACACTATTATCCATGAGTCCTTTCTCCCTTTTGCTCAATCCCTCTGCCCCACCACTAGCTGTCATCCAGCTCTCCATCTATGGGTCTGTCCCTGTTTTCCTTGTTAGTTCAGTTCATTCATTAGATTCCACATCTGAATGAAATCATATGGTATTTGTCTTTCTCTGACTGACTTATTTCGCTTAGCATAAAGTTCTCCAGCTCCACCCACACTGTCCAAAAGGGTAAAACTTTCTTCTCTTTTTACAGCTGAGTACTATTTTATTGTGTAAATGTCCCATAGTTGTTTTATCCACCTCTACTGATGGACACTTGGGATGCTCTCATATCTTGGCAATTGTAAATAACACTGCAATAAACATAAATGTGCTTATGTTCTTTCGAATTAGTGTTCAAAATACACATTTCTCCAAAGAGGACATACAGATAACCAATAGACATATGAAAGGATGCTCAACATCACTAATTATCAGAGAAATGCAAATTAAAACCACAATGAGATATCACTTCACACCTGTCAAAATGGCTATCATCAATAAATCAACAAATAGTAAATGCTGGTGAGGATGTACAGAAAACCTTTTGCACTGTTGGTGGAAATGTAGACTGGTGTAGCCACTGTGGAAAGCAGTGTGGAGATACCTCAAAAATTAAAAATGGATCTGCCTTTTGACCCAGAGATTCCACTTCTGGGAATCTATCAGAAGGAACACAAGCAAACTACTTTTAATGTTCCAGTGTGTCTTCTCCCTAATTAAACAGTCTTTGCAGTGTATATAGTTTTATTTTGCTGTGAACACATTTTTTCAAGTTTGAGTCTCTTAAGCATTGCCTGCTAATCATTTGGCCAAACAAATGAAAGGACTCTGGAACCCTGCTGGGCCTCATGTAAAGCATTTGAAGGCAGCAGGGAGTATTTTAAATTACTCGAGTTCACACACACCATTATGTTTCTCATTTACTTAGTATAGTTTTTCTTTCCTTTAGGAAAAATAAATTTGCTTTCAAATACCTTTAATTTTTTAGATATTTGTTGTTAGATTTTAAAATGTCTTTAGAATAATTGTTTAAAAACCCTCTGTCACAGACAAATAAGATTTTTTAAATCTGTCAATGATATGATTGATGACCTAGAATAGGCTGTACATTTTTGTATCTAGTTCATTTAAATGCAAAGAATACCAGAGCCATCTCAGATACAACATTGTGTCAGTCACTCTAAGACAGGAACGCATTCCAAGTTCCACAGCTGCTGCAAGTCAATAGCTGTGGTTCTGAAAGATGCTATGACTTAAAGACTGTTCCGCAGGAAGAGTTGTCCAGTATTCACCCATCTTATTCTAAATAAAGATGCTTCTGCATTTTAAAAAGTAGAATCCATGGATTAAACTGGTTTAGAAAAATATTATATTATGGAAGAATAATAACCATCTCTGACAAAACGATAGCATGTCACACATTGAGGCTTCACATATAACTGGTGCTCCTTACTTTGACTCCTGAAGTGGAAAACTCACACAGGTGCCCACAGTACCCTTTTTGTGCTAGATATAATCCTGGGATTGCTTTCCAAACACTTCTTCCTCTTGGTATTCATTCATTTATTCATTCAACAAGGACTAACTGTTTACTACTGCAAAGTTATCTTGCCTCAGTATTGTAATACTGTTTAAGCACACGGGCTGTGGAGTCAGACTGTGCACATCTGAACGCCAGTTCCGTGTAACCCTGGCAAGCGACACCCACTCTAACCCCAAGTAGTTGCTCATCTTTTAGGGGGTAAAGGTAATAATCCCTACTGTGTAGAGGTATTGAGAATAGTTAGAGGTCATTCCTTAGCTGAGAATTTAAAAAGTACTTAAGAAGTTTTAGTCATCATTAGCAGACAATGGTGCTTATCAATTCCATTCAAGGTTGTTACTGCTGGATATTGTGGAACATGGAGTAAAGCCTTCAGGGGGGAAACAAAGCTTTTTTTGTTTGTTTTCAGCATCCTTAAAAGGTAAACCTGGAACACAGGATAGAAAACATCTTAGTTCTAATGGCAGATCTTTGAAGACCAACAATAAATTCACAGAAAATCAGCAAAGGAAGCCACAGCCAACTTTCTTTTTCATCTTTCTGGATCCATTAAGGCCCTCTTCTTTTGTGCTCCATTATGGGAGAAAAATTAGGATATGTATCACCAGTTCCATTTGATCCTTATAGCTTCTTGCTTCCCATAGCAGTTCAAAAAAGTCACAGGAAAAGGACAGCCTGACACAGAGTGTTCGAGGAGCCCGAAGAACCACTTGTGGACATAGAAGAGAATGACAACATGGCTCGCACAATCACTACCTTTTTTGTGATCTTTTGGCAGGTGATAACTTCAGGTGGGATAACATTTCGTGACCAGCCATGGCACAAAGAGTGTTTTCTGTGTAGTGGCTGTAGGAAAGAGCTCTGTGAAGAAGAGTTCATGTCCAGAGATGGTTATCCATTCTGCCTTGACTGCTATGACCACCTTTATGCCAAAAAGTGTGCAGCCTGCACCAAACCCATTACTGGTGAGTCTTTAATACAGTCCTCCCACAAGACAGCTGTGGCTATGTTAATGCTATATAGATCATTTCAACAATGCAAGATTAAAAAATGGGTAAGCTTTCCCTTATGTTTCTTTTCGAGATAAACACAAAATGTGTAAATACAAATATTACACAGACCACTCGAGATAAGTATAGAGTATAATTAGGTTCGCTATGTTCTGTAGAGAGTAATTAATGCCAAACCTAATGGTACTGATGCTCAATTAAAGTAACAGTTCGGGGAAAGAGGAGAACAGGATGAACTGAGAGGTCAGAGAAGACCTTCATGAAGAAGGTCTTCTGGACCAAAACTTTTAAGGATTTGAGTGGGAGGGAGGGGCACTTGCGAATCAAAATCCTGCTTAATTCTAAACAAGGGTGAAGGGGACTTAAAATGGAAATGTTTTAATTAAATGAAGGTATTGTACAAAAACCCAAAGCTGTACTAATTAGGATAAATAGGTTAGGAATTAATTAATCTTCATTTTAATATGCTTTTAACAAAAGTATTCTCTTTACTCTCTTTTCCCTTGCCGTAAGTTTTAGCTATGAGTAGATGAAGTAAAACAAGGTCGCCTTCTGCTGAAGAAACAAAGTACTTGCACCATGATTTGTAAATAACATAAATGGTAAATCACTGTGTTGAGTAGATTTTCAAGGTAAAAAAAAAACACATTATGTTTTCCTCTGGGGCCCTTCTAAAACGCTGCTGCTACAGTAAAAGAGCTAAAGCTAACAGGGCCTGTGAGAAACCCAGCAGCTATTCTTTTAGGCAGTTTATTGTCACTGAATAATGTGGAAGAACTCCCCATTCCTAGATTCTAAGATTATATTTTCTCTTTCAGTTTATGTAACATGGGATTAAAGATTATTATATCCCTCTCCTTCTCCATCTTTAAGTATATCACAAAATGAAAGTCAAATCTTCGTATATCTGTAAAGAACAGTTTTGCTGCACACCCAGCTTGGTAGGCTTCGGCTGACTGGCAAGTGGAGACAGAGAGTTGCCTGGGTACACAGAGTACGGTCCTACTTGTCTACACGGGGCAGCACATTTTTCAGAATCAAACAGTGGCCCACAGAACGCATTTGGCCAGCAGGCATGTTCTGTTTGGCCTGCACATGTTTGGAAAGAGTGTAATGAAATGTAATGTAAAATCCTGTCAGAGTGAGCAGACTGCCCTCACCTTCCGGAGCCGGGTCACTGTGTCATGAAGCTAAGCGGCTGCTCCGTTGTGTAGGGGGTGGCCTCTCTGTTCCTCATACCTTGTTTTCATCACTCACCTACATCACCCTTCAGCCCTTTTGAGGACTTGCTTTGGCAATTCCATACAATCAGACTTCAAAGCTTGAACTCCCCAAAGCTCAGGCTCCCCTCTACCTCCTGCCCTTTCCACATCTGCAAGTCCTGCAGTCAAGAGAATAAGCCACTGTTTTCACTGATTTTATCTAGAAAATAGGGTATACAGAAATGCAGTAGTACCTGGACCTCAAAAATCTACTTGATAGAATCTACAGTCACAACCCAACAGATTCAGTCAACTTATTCTAGAACACTTTCCTTGAACTAGTCACAAAAAAGGGGGTGGGGGGGAAGGTGCTTCTCCAAGGAAATGAGAAAATTAAATAACTCAAAAAGGATTTGAAAACTTTCCGGGGTACTGAAATGGCTAATACTCATCTGCAAAGAGCCTACATGAGCCCTGAACTTGATGAGGTTCAATTCTGATGTATAACAGATTTTTTTCTCACAGACAGTTTCAGACCAACCACTGGGCCCAGCTGTTGAAGGTTCAGACCACAGCAAAAGCACATGGTTCTGCATGTAGCAGAAGGATGATCAGGAACTAGAGATTTGACCCAAAGTAATCCAAATGGAAGACCATGTATTTAATTTAGAATGATCAGTCTTTCAATAATTATCATAATCTTCCTTTGTCTCTGTGACCGAGAGATACCAGAGACTAAAATGTCAGCAAAACTTCAAACTCACTTCAATATTTTTTATCTAATTCTTAAACTTATAGTAAGTCCTACAGCAGTATGTCTTTAAAATTGAGCTATTTTAACTAATGTACCACAGGGAATTCCTATAATGCCATATATTTATCTTCTGAAAGTTGCATGTTCATGCAAATAATATGTGACCCTAAGGAACTAGGTTGGAATGCTTTCAAAATACTACTATACATTAACTAAATCTGTAAGTCATAAGATATACTTTTTTAATCCCATCACAATGAATTTGATTCATCTGAACAAACTCAAGGTAAAACTATGTACTTTTTCTCCTCCTCTAACATAGGAGTAACTCTCAAACTTTCTGGGGCGAATGACATGGCCTGACGTAGCGAGCAGTGCCCGGGACCAGGGATTAGATGGCCTCGGTCATGCCCCTGCCGCCGCCTAGTACGTGACACCGGGTGAACAGTCACGCCCGAGGTCCTCATGTGCCTCATTTTCGAAATAAGAAGTTGAACAGGATCACATCTGAGCTTTCTTTCATTTCTGTTAGTTTTGACTCAAGGAGTTTCAAAAATTATGATTTCTTCAGTAGGGGATACTAATGTTTTAGGTTATATTTTTTACAAAAGATAAATTCAGGCCTAATTTCGTGGAGTTAAGAGCATAGGCTCTAAAACCAGATGGCCTAGGTTCAAATCCAGATCTGCCACTTACCAGCTAGGGCATTTGAACAAGTGGTCAAACCTCCCTGTCAATTTTTATATGCAAAGTGAGGTTCGTGGTATCACCTACAGCATGAAAGTGAGGTGAGAGCTGTATGAAGCAATAGGAGATAAAAGGTTTAGAATATTGATGGGCTCATTTTCAAGTGCTCAATAAATGTTAGCTTTCATTCTACTGAATTTTCAGGAATAAATGAAGCGAGATAAAAAGAGGTACTGGAGACCTGTTTCCTGGATCACATTCTTACTGCCAAGGACCCTCACAACCTGAGGGAGTAGGCATATCTAAAATTGAAAAAATATATAAACATCATATGTTGAGCCAAGCCTTTCTTAAATTCCTGCTACCAGCTGCTTCAGTTTTTCTCCATCATTGTAAAATTCTAGAATTGTTTTTACATTTACTACTTGTAAAGGATTACTAATAAACTCAAGAAAAACTCATGAGCATCAAAATCCTAGATGTGTAATCATCAATTTTATGAACATATGGACAGAGATAATTTACATATATAGAGAACATTATTCTTGCAGTCAGCTTACAAATGTTTTGAATAATGTGAAAAGAGTTAATTGGTTTATTATTGATTTATTAGAAAGTGATGAGCCCTGGCTGGCGTAGCTCAGTGGACTGAGCTTGGGCTGCGAACCAAAGTGTCGCAGGTTCGATTCCCAGTCAGGGTACATGCCTGGGTTGCAGGTCATGACTCGCAGCAACCGCACATTGATGCTTCTCTCTCTCTCTTTCTCCCTCCCTTCCCTCTCTAAAAATAAATAAATAAAGTCTTTTAAAAAAAAGAAAGTGATGATAGCACCATAAATAGCATGCTATATATTTAATCAATGAAAACAGAAATTTGATATAAATATATCTATGACCTAGTAAATTATATGTAAAGGCATCAAATAATGTTTCTAGGATGGAAGTAAAAATTCATTATAATAAATTAAGGAGAGTTCATCTGAAATAGAATGTTTATTCACTCTTTCTGCTTCACCATCCCAAATGGAATATTTGGAAATTCTATGTAAATCAGCACATGAATTATTTTAACTTCACTCTATGAGTGAAAAGAGGGGTTTCTCTAAGACTTTTCTCAAGAAGTTTTTTCTCTTAGAGAAAACTTGGCAAATAAATAAAGACCCCAACAGATTTAGGTTACCCCAATGCCTTCCCAGTTCCTAGACACTCTGCTTTTCTACAGCTCCTCACAATCAATTCCTTGAGCCCTGAATTCATATGAAGGATATAGGGATAGTGTCTCACTGAGACTCAAATTCTATCTTTCTCAGAAACACTGGGTCTCAAGTGAGGCCCAAGTGGTGGAGACTGCCAAGCACTCCTTGGAAACTAATCATTGGACCACCAGGTCTCAGAGTGATCAGATTCACAGGTCTTTGCCACAAGCCTGGGCCAGAGTTGTCTCTAGGCAAGGTGATAAGGTCAGATTAGGCTACCTATGTGATAATCTGGATGAAATTCTCTATTTGGGGCTTTTGGGAATTGTGTCCCAAACTACATTATGACCAATGGACTTTATCCTAAGTAAAATTTAAACATGGAAAAAGAAAGGAGGGAAGAGAACTAAATGTCATCAAAACATTAGATGTGAACCGAGGAAGTACACATTTATTTTGTTTTACCCTAATGCTGCCTCTCAGAAAACAGAGCACAAAGAAAGAAGGGACAAAGATATCTGTACTTCAGTATCTCTTCCCACTACACTGCACCACACTGCACTGCACTACCTTAGTAGTCCTTGTCTGTTTCCAAAAACATGTGTTTTTTATATCCAAATGCTACCTACTTGTGTAATTATGGAAAAATTTCACTGGGACTCAGACTGGATCTCAATGGTGGAACTTGTTTACGGGTGACATTCCCAGGTGGATATGAAGCCACAGGGGCAGCGTTCTTTTTTCCCATCACTTGCCTCGATATAGTCCTGCTGTATCTCCACTTCCTGAAAGAGTTCCTGATAGAATGCTCAATCTATTCATTGGAAAAAAAAGATTATTCTTTTTTTCCATTTTTTTTTACAGGTCTCAAGGGTGCCAAGTTCATCTGCTTTCAAGACCGCCAGTGGCACAGCGAGTGCTTTAACTGCGGGAGGTGCTCAGTGTCCTTGGTGGGGGAAGGCTTCCTGACCCAGAACAAGGAGATCTTCTGCCGCAAATGTGGCTCTGGAGTGGAGACTGACATCTAGAAGGAGATGGTCCTTCCCTACCTAAAATCCACCTTGCTTTTGTTCTCACTAAACCCAGAAGTTGGTTGAAGTCATATTTCTGGCTTAAGTTTTAAAAAATTATTAATGTAGAGTTCATAACAGAAGGGTTTGGCAAACGTCCTGATTGAACTGTATTATAAGAGCACAAAAAAGCACAGTTTAACAGGAAGGAATATATACTATTTCACAAAGGCACCTATCCTTGCAAAACACTGCACTCTGCTGTTGGAAACATAAGAAATTATCTCTTTATTGTAATCAGGTATATGACCTATACAAAGAAGTCATGGATATTATTACTGAAGACATGTTCTTCAAAGGTGCAGAGTAAAAACGAAATTAAGAGATCAAATTAAAAGGCACCAGTTTGCATTCCTACCAAGCCAGTTTTACATAATGTGATGTGAACAGTAGGGCCACAGGGATCAGGGAAAACTGATAAACAATCATCACATATAAGAATTCTGTCATTTTATCTTTCTTTTATTACTCACACATACGGACTTGGAACACCAAAACTGCAATTGCCCTCATCCGCACTGCTTCCAAACACTGGTTGGTTCCCGCGTTTAATCAATGGAATCTGAGGATTGTAGGTGCTGTGGCTCTCATATATTACACAGATACAGTGGGTCCTCCCTATCTAGGGATTGTCAAAACACAGGTTTCAACACGTTTTGTGTTAAATGCGCTTTCAAAGCCCACATGATTTTTCTAAAGACTTACTTTCTTTCATGAAAGAAAATGTCTCTTCTTTCAAATGAGCTAACCAGAATAATCATTGTCCCCAAAGGCAAACCTTTAAAGTAAATAGATCATTAAATCATCACTTGTGGAAATGAGTTTTAGGGAAGGGATTGAGTGTTGGAACACGACTTTCATCCAGATATCTAAAGGCATAATAGAATGCATAATTAGCTCTGAGCCTCATGCATTCTGACTTCTAAAATTACATTGATGATTAATGGAAGACCATAAAAGTGGGCTTTAAAGACAGCTAGTAATAATAAGAACCGAAAAAGAATAATTCACAGCTGGTGATTCAGGACCCAGAAAGCAGCAGTGTAGAGCCACATGGGCTATAAGCGAGCCCTCCCACCTTCCCTCCACGCCTACACTGCGCTCCCCACCCATGCTGACCATGCCCTGGAGGTGCACTCGCAACCCAAAGCAGCCATTCTACAAATAAGTCCATTGTATTGGTCATAAGGGAAGTAGTAGCCTTAGTGAAAAGTCTAACTGTCCCTGGACAATATTTTTCACATCAGGTGGGACAAATGGAAAGCCACCTCTGCTCCCTTTTTCAGTCCACTTGAGTGGGGTAGAGGGAGATCAGGAGAAGAAGCTCTCGAAGACATAACAATTTTATGTATCTGCTCTCAGATTATAATATAACATTAAACTTTCTGATTGAAATCTAATTATATGTTGTGGCCAATTACCATGATTAAAATAGCATCACAGGGGATCCAATTAAAATTGTTATGGAAACACAATTTTTGGAATAGTTTAAAATGCAAGGACATTTGGAGATGCTAACAATTTAGAGATACTAATAAAAGGTCAGGCTACATATGTTATTTGAAAATAGTAATTGTCTTTCTTTTTTTTTTTTTTTGTATTAACAATGCCAAGATCTTTTTTTCACATTCACTTTATAAAATGTAGGGACAACTATCAATTTTTTCCTGATTTGTTTGAAATTTCACATAACAAGGAACAAAATATGCCAATTTTTCAATAACCTAGAAAACAATAAATCATTACATATTTAGAAAGCCAAGGCATTCTTCTAAGACTGGATAGATTCACAACATGTAACATTAACTCAGTTAACCAATTACATATAAACATACAAAATGTAATGTTTTCTTAATTAAACAATTGGTATTATTGGGGCATTTTGCTGCATGTAGGGGGTGGGATCAGGCTTGAGTGGTAGTGGTGCTGAGGCGAGGGGAGGGGCGGCCAGGCTTTGGAAATGTGAGAATGTCAGATAAACATCCTTCCCCACAGCTTATAAAAAGTGTCACAGACCTTCTACTATAATTGATTTCAGGTCAGTCAAGGAAAAAGTTCACTAAAGGACCCATTTAAAGATGGAACTGACAGCCTCGAGAAGCAGGGAGCTCCCATGGATTCAAAGAGCAGCATCTGCACAGGCAGGAAGCAGAAGCAAGTCCTGTGCTAAAAACAGCTTGATGGCCAGGGCACAACAGAGAACTGCCCCAAACTGCCCCAAAGAGAAAGGGTCAGATGACAGGAGAATGTTAACTCTCCTTTAAGTTTTATAAAGGTTTATATTTGACATAAAGTGCAATAGAAAGTTATCAACTATTCTTAAGTAGAGGAGAAAAAACAATGCAACAGAGTCTGAGAAAGATCCTGCTAAAGATTCTGTGAGGCCTAGAACCGAAGAGGGCGAGGTCCAAAGGCTAGGCCTCCTCATGCCTGTGGCTAGTGGCAATGAAAAGAGAAAGTTAAGTATCAATAAGTAATAATAAGAGCTATATCCGGAAGACAACAAACCAAAATATTTCATGATGTCACATGATTAGAAATGACAAAAATGCAGAAAAGAATTCCTGCTTCCATGCTAACAGGCAGGGCGCCTAAGGGCTCGGTGTGCACTCTACCAATGGACCGCAGAACAACCCAGGCCCACTGGTTAAAGGAGGTGTGACAATGCTACTGTCAAGAGTCCAAAACTTACATACTCAATATAACTATACAAAGAAAGCCTTCTGTTGTATGCTGTACCACAAATGAAAAATCAACCCAAAAGTATGTCTGATGTTAGTGACACCATTTTTTAATTTTAGTAACATGTACTTTTTAATCTACCTGGCATATTAATAATTATATTTAAAATAAAAAATGATTGTTATAGTATGTTTTAGATACATTTAATTGAGCACATAAATTATTCTCAAAGACATTTAGAGATAGATATTATTGCAATAATATTGTTTTTACTTAATTTGCAAATCATGGTTTTCAAACATTTTTATGCTAAATAAATTTGCATAGTACATATTTCTCATATTCTTTTTAGTTCTTTAGTTTTTACATTAACTGTGTAGTAAACAGAATACATATGAATAACTTTGTAGTGTTTCTACTTCTTACATAAGAAGCATGATGACTTTTATCTTCTTGTCCTGTTCATTTTCACAACACCCAAACTAACTATCTGTTCAGATACAATTTCAAGGCATTAATTAGAAAATGGCATAACTGAATTCTATCTGACCCAAACATTAATGCCTTTCCTGTGAACCACATCTCTGCTTTTTCTTACAGTGATCAACTTTTTAAAATACCCTAAACTAAGAATTATTTTACTTCCAATTATTATTTTTATGATTCTAAATATATTGTATCACAAGTAATTCACTTCAATTGAATTTCCAGTTTTGACTGAGAAAGGATGTTAACTTCTTATCGTTTCTACATTGGAGGAATTGTTTACAATCTTTTTATCTAAAGAAAAATTTGTGTTTGTAACACAAGCTTTCTTTAAACTTAGCTAATCTACACTAGTTAAGTTCTCTCCAGAGTTGCATTAGACTATGAATTCACTGAATGTCAGAACATGTCTCACAAAGAAATATTTGGAAAAATATATTTCACCAAACATTTCTAGTTCATTTAAAAAATCACATGGCTTTGAAGTATAAAGAAATTCTAATGGGCACTCAAATAGTAAATGTTATGCCTTGGAATTGTGTTTCTTCAATGAGTCAGAAAATCAATAGAAATTATACTTACTAAGATATTAATTTTATCCTGAACATCTTCCCCCAGAAGCATCAGGCTTTTAGATCATTATTCTGCCAGAAACATTTCAAGAGCAGGCTGGGATAACTGTAAAGAAGTATTTGAGGAACTTGGAGATCCTCTTTCCAGGGAGAGATAGAGGAGCTCTATCTAGACTTGGGGAAAATGTCACAAGATGGGTCGATCTTACAACTTCCCAAAGTTATCCCAGCATAATAAAGCAAGGATACCAGGAGTCTACATTTGAAACATCCAACTGAGGACAACTTAAGAAACGAGTCCATCCACTCAGCCATTCATGTGTCCTCATAGATGTTCCTAAAAAGGCATCATTCTGAGAGAATTTGAGAAGTTCTTTCTCAGAATTATGAACAGTCAGAATTTTCCCAGATCTGGCTTTAGAACCAGATATTGTATTAAAAATTGGGTTGGGAAAAACATTTCTCATTTGGAAATCAAAAAAGAGGAGAAAGAAACAGAAAATATTCAGGTTCAAGTGTGAGCTTATAAAAGGAAGAACAGGATTTATGTGTATTTGGAATGGCTGGATTATATTTCCCTGTGGTTGAGAAGGGGAATAGCTCACTGTGATAGAATTATGATCCATGTCACAAAGGAGCAGAGAGTACTTGGGTCAAATATTTTCCCACGAATGGTAATAAACTCAGAAAGTAGATGTCCATAAAGGGTTCTCTGAACGAGAAACATTAATGAGCTCAACAGACATCCCTTCAATGACTCAAACAGTGACATTAAATACTATTCCCATCACACACAGAAACAAAAATCAAATTTGATAATTATGAAGGTTCACACACTGAATTCCAAAGGCTTATTCTTTCTTTATATAAATGACAAACTATCCCTGATTTGTCTCTATAGCATCACTTGTGAAGCTATTTATCAAGAATTCCAACCCAAGCTCTCAAACAAGAAATAATTGAGGGAGGATGGATAAAAAGGGAAGGAAAAAAAGCAGTGATTTTTAAAAAATGACATTCTTGAAAAAAATAGAAAATAAAATTGATTTTTAAAACCTTTTTCCCCCATGTAGTAAAAAATTTTCAAAACTACAAGGTTATTCAAAGGAAGCAAAATAAATAGACAAAAGAAAAAAATTGATAAAATTATGGACTTAAGAATTACAGTTTGGTATCTGTCACCTCAAGGGAAATTAATTTTCAGATGCTACCAATAGATATGTAGTCACCAAAATCCATAATCTTCAACTTCCTATGCTGCTGTGGGGTATTTTGCTATTGTTGGTCTTCCCTTGTTCTTTCAAAATCTGATTGTAATCATTTTATTATGCATGTGCATGTCAAATTATCACGTTGTATGCCTTAAATATATGTAACTTTTATTTTTAAAAATAAAATTATTTTAAAATTAAATATAAAGTGCTCACAGGTGGTTGCCATCAGGTAGTGTTCAGAACAATGTTAAAGACAAGTCCTCTCAAATAGTTAATAATGTTTAATATTTCTTCTTATGTTTATAAAGTTGTTTACATTCAATACCTTTGGCTTATTATTTTCACACACTGTTGGGTAAAGGAAAATTATTTGTGGAAGGCAATTTGAAAGCCTTAAATTTTTTATACACTAGGGCCAAGAAATTCCAAAGAATTATCCAGTGTGGCTAAATTTATTAATTTGTGTGTTAAGAAAAACTGCAAAAAAATACAATAAAATACTAACATTAATAAAACATTAATAACAGTGTTAACATAATAATATAATAACATTATACAACATTAATAAAATATTAACATTAATACAACAAAAAAAGTGGTTTCTGTGAACGGCATCCATAACACCAGTCTCTCTTATGTCTCCTAAAACTTACTGGTAAACCATCTTTTATATATTTCTCTGAGACAGATATTCCTAACTATTCTCTCAAGCTTCTTGCTCTACATTTTTTCTGCCAGCAAACTCATCTAGTTAATGATTTCACTGCCTTTTCTGTGTAGCTGATTGCAAATCTATGTGCCCTGCTTTAAATCTTTTTCTGAGTCCCAGATTCCAGTTTCTCTCTGTCCTCTAGACAACTGCAACTCCATGTACTGTGGACAGCCCGCAGCATTATTATCTTCCTTACAAATTCCACTCATCTTCTGATGTTCCCATCTTAGTTATTGCATTATCCAAACAGAGCCTTTAGAATCTATGTCTTGGGCACATAAAAAGTTGCTCTACACCATAGTTATTAGGAAAATGAAAATTAAAACCACAAGATAGCATTTCACACCAACTCTAATGGCTATAACATACAAGGCAGACAATAAGTAACCAATGCTGTTAGGAATAAAAGAGTAACCCTAGCCCATTGCTGGTTTGAGGCACCAATTTTAGAAAACAGTTCGGCAGTTTCTCAAAAAAAAAAAAACTACTATGCAACCCAGGATTTCTACTCCTAGATATGTATCTATCCAAGTGAAATAAAAACATATGTCTACATAAATGTTCGTGTCAGCATTAATCATAATTGCCCAAAAAGAGAACAAGCATTAAATTGATGGATAGATAACAAAACTTAGTAGAGCCGTACAATAGAATAGAATTCAATCATAAAAAAATGAGGTACTGCTATGTGCCATAGCATGGAAGAACTTTAAAAACATGCTAAGTGGAAAAAGCCAGAAAAAAGGCCACATTTACATGACATGTTCGAAAGAGGCCAACGTAGAGAGATAGGAAGATTTGTGGCTTCCTGGGAATGAGAATTGTAAACGGGCATGAGGGATCTTCATGGGGGATGGGTGAAATTTTCTAAAACTGGTTGATGGTGGTAGTTGCATGACTAGGTAAAATTACTAAAAATCTTTGGATTGTATAATTAAAATTAGTGAATTATGTGCTATGCAAAGTGAGTCTTAATAAAGTTGTTTTTAAAAAAATCTATCTTGGTTCTTCCCTCTCCCCAACTCTTTGTATCTAAATTCTGTTACAGTGATAAAAGCCACAATTTTAAAATTTTGCCTTGCAAGCTTTTTTTTTGATTCCCCAAAATACTATTCCTTTTCCTTTTTCTGTAACTAGGATTCTTCTCTTATCTACCTGTGAAATTTTAATCAATCAAAGTTACCTCCTGTGTGAAATCTTTACTAATATCCCTTGGAAAACATTTGATCATTTTCTCAACTTCTTTTACAATTCTATGAGCAGTTTAAACAACTGGACTTATACCAAAGTTAGGAATGGGGGGCCACGTAATTAAAAGATGATGGTATTTAGAGCCAGAAAAACTGGCTTCAGTTCCCAGGTGTGCCACTTCCCTGGTGTGCGACATTTGGTAGTTACTAAACTACCTGGGCCTTGGTTTCCAACCTTTAATTGGGGTCTATAACATAAATTTCAAAAAATTGCTATGAACACTAAATAAAAAAGCAATTTGCCTCAAATGTACCTAGAACATATCTAACTTATTAAAAAGTTATTAAATACCAATTACCTTCACCGTTCTTCCCAGCTCAACTCCACCCCTCGATCATGCATCTCATGGTTTGTAAATCAAATTCCTACCAAAATGTCTGGCTCTTGGTAGACAACCAATAAATACTTGCTGAATTTAATTCTAGTTATGCAAGTATCGTTGCTACAATGATATTCCCCTCTGTTGATTGGCAACAACCATGATGAAGGGAAGTCCCTTTTGCTCCTCATTTAGATCATGTTCTGTGGAGCTGCCCCTGTAAGAAGCAGCTAGACTGTAAATTAACACCTGCACCTTCAAGCACCTGCTTTGAATTTTATGTCACTGTTTCCTCTGTCCATAGACTCCTAATCTATACAGTGTTCTTCTCCCAACCAGCATTCACACGGGTGTCCCAAGACACTTATTTTCAGGTTCTCTGGAGAATAACTGCCTGTACTGAAGTTTTCTCTTCTTGGGCCCCCAACATAGATTTTTGCCTGCACTTGCAGCTCTTGTGTTAAGTCAGACCATCTCAAATATGGCTGCTAAACTTGAAGTCAATATGCCCAATAAATTTTGTATCATGTACTTACAGTTAGAAATGTAATTGTACTTACTTTGCTTAAACTGCAAAATGCATCCTCCCCGTCACTCAAAAATGCAGACAATTTTCCTTTCACCTATTGCTGAGTACGTGTAGCTTTAGGCATCTTA